CCAGACCGAGCCGAGTAAAGGGATCAGGGGCCTGATGGGAAGTTAACCATTCGTAGAGATAACAGAGCTCATTGCTATAAATGCATAGATGGGTTAGGGGAACATTTAAAGGTGTGGAACACTAAAACCGTGTTTTAATGCTTATCTCTGATTCTATCGGGTCACTCTGAGTGTTTCATGCAGGCTGAACATGAAAATGGTCTCCTACACCTATCTCCTGCTTTAGATTCTGACAGTGTCAGTGGTAGAGTCGTGTTGCTGTTAGCCAATCAGAGGAGAGTTGTCCACATATCAGGAAGTAAGACTCCAGATCCTGTCATCTGAAGCTCTCTTCTGATCTGGGAATATTCTAGATCCTGAAACAGGTGCACCAGGGCTTTTTGTACCTAGAGTACGACTTACAAGGTGTTCATTCCTACTATAGACCTCCACAAATGTATCCATCAAACAAGTGAACCACACCTTTAAAGGCTAGACTATACTTCTTCGACTGCATTGGTACGAAGACATGCAACAATATTATCAGTCGTCGCAAGGGTTCACCAACATGCTAGCAAGGACGGAGCTCCAGCTCTTCCTTTCCTCTCCTCTTTCATTTCCGTCTCCATGTCCATGAACAACAACCAAACACATCTCTAATGTTTCGATTCTAGGCGGGGCATTAAAGCTGAATATATAACACTCCACCTGTGAGAAAGGTTAATGGCCTGCATTTGATATAGCGCCTTCTGGAGTCCTGGAACCCCACAAGGTGCTTTACAACACAATCAGTCATTCACCCATTCACACCCTGGTTGTGATGAGCTACGATGTAGCCACAGCTGGGGCACACTGACAGAGGCGAGGCTGCTGAGCACAGGTGCTGCCGGTCCCTCCGACCACCACCAGCAGGCAAGGTGGGTTCAGTGTCTTGCCCAAGGACACAACGACAGCGACAGACTGAGCAGGGCTCGAACCTGCAACCTTCCGATTACAGGGCGAGCACTTAACTCCTGTGCCACCGGTGCCCCAAAGAGAATAAAACTGTAAGGCTCGTATTTTTTTTGTCTCCAAGATGGCAGACCCTTAAAAACAGCTATCATTAAACCCCTTCTTAAAAACCCACTCTAGATCCTGAACCTTTGTCAAATTACAGACCCATCTCCAACCTCCCATTCATTTCCAAAGCGTTAAAAAACGTGGTTTCCTCCCAGCTCAACAACCATCTCAATTCCAAAAGTCTTTACGATACATATCAACCTGGCTTCTGCTCTCAACACTGCACAGAAACAGCTCTCATCAGAGTGACCAGTGACCTTCTAATGGCCTCTGACTCCGGCTACACTTCCCTGCTCATTCATCTCGACCTCTTTGCTACATTAGACACTGCTGACCACCACATCCTCCTTCAGACTCCAGCACTACATTGGTCTCTCCGACACCTCCCTAAAATGGTTTTGCTCCTACCTCACAGATAGGACAGAGTATGTAGCCTTGAGGGGAGGGCAAGATCTTCACCCCACATTGTTACCTGTGGGGTCCCACAGGGCTCTGTACTCGGTCCAACCCTCTTCACAATCTACACGCTTCTCCTAGGCCGAGTTGTCAGCAGGCATGGAATTCACTACCATTGCTATGCTGACAATACTCAACTCTATCTCCACATCACTCCCTCTGGGACCCCCTCTGCCACACCTCCTGCCTGGGGGAGATTGGGGCAGGGATGAATCAAAAATTTCTACAGCTGCATGGCTTGAAAACAGAAGCCATTCAAATCAGATCGCCCCACCAACTTCGCTTTTCTCCCGTTACATCCGTTTCGTTCCTTGGCAATACGATTACCCTCTTTCCCTCTGTTATAAACCTCGGGGTCAAGTTTGACGCCTACCTTTCCTTTGACAAACATGTCACCTCAATTAGCAAAACCTCTTTTTTTCTATTTTGTGTAAATGTGTGTGTGAATGGGTGAATGACTGATGGTGTTGTAAAGCACCATGGCAGGTTCCAGGACTCTAGAAGGTGCTATATCAAATACAGGCCATTTACCATTTCCATCTCTGTAACATTTCCAAACTGAGTCCCTCTCTTTCCCTTTCAGCTGCAGAGAAGCTCATCCACGCCTTTGCCTCCTGCAGGCTGGACTATTGCAACAGACACCCAGTGACACCAGCACTTGACCTATTGTCAAGAACAAGCTGGGATAAACTGTGGGATAGGACTGGTTGTGATTCAAACCCAGCAAAGAAACTGGTTCTGCACCTACCATGCTCTCAGCTCCTCCAGCAGCAGGAGCATAAATGACTCGGTACTCCACCACTCGGCCTTCAGCTGGCTCCCATCGCACATTTAGTGTGGTCATGGTTGGGTTCAGAACCTGGAGGTTCCTCACACCGCCCAAAGGTTCTGCTCAAAAAATATTAAACAGGTGAGTCAGCAGCAAAACCAGGGATGACTTTCATTCATTTACTTTATCCTGCATCATTGGTCTTTAGCAGAATGTCAATACAACTCATGAAATGGACTGGTTCTGATGCTAGAGGGAAACCATGACTAGGCATCTGACTGTGGGTGGATTGTGATTCTAGGTGGGTTCTGATGGTTTTTCATACTTGTTTTGCCTTCTCCAGAGATGTCCTGGCTTACTCCTGACAGATAGACGGCAGCTACGGTGACGGTGTACTGTGTGTCGGGTTGCAGCTGCTGCAGGATCATGTTGGTCTTCTTCCCTCCAACCTGAACCTGTTCCAAGGGTAAAACACATAAGTCATGGTCACATATCCTGTTGTGAGGAGGTTGTGCTTTTAAAGAATTAGATTTAACAGAAATGACCTGATTTACTCAATTCACAAATCCCTGTAGGAAATCAATTACAAGATCCAGAACCTTAAACATTATTGGTATCTGTCATTAATAAACGGAGAAAAGGGCAGTTTCTCAGTACCCAAGTACACCATCAAGTTTTTGTTTACTTGACATATATGTTCTTGGCAAGTACACCAGAAAGTCTGGTCAACTGAATATGGACGGACAAGGACAGCATTTGAAACAGAGCCATACTCCGGCAACGAGCGCTGCTTGTTGCTATGATGAAAAGTACCTGACATAAAAAAAACCTGACGTAAAAATAGAAGTTTAGTTTGTCCCTTAAATACCATAACATATTTGTGTATTTGGTCCATTTTTAATGAACCTGATAATATCAGCATTGCCCTCTGTTAAATGAAGAAAAGTTTAGTTTTCATCAAAACAGAGCTGTTTAAGGCTACGCTGCTCTTATTTTGATAGTGGCTAATTAGGGTTAGCATTTTGAGGGATTGTAAAGAGTCTGGAAAAAACCAAACGAACAAGGCATCTTTTACAGGTTACACACAATTATTTACAAGAGCAGATAACTTTAAATTTCTTTACTTGTATTTCTAATATAAAAGACTACAGTTATAAGATTTCACCTCTGAGTGCAATGATGCATCCTCAATACAATGGGCAGGACAAGAACACATCCGGGAACTAACATACAAATGTGCATCCAAGTACTGAACACATACTGAGTATTGCTTTTGTGGTACCAGGATAATGCCAGTACCAGTGAAACTGAGGAGGTCTGCACTCTTACTGCAGAGGAGATGAATGACCTATCGTTCTGTTTTACATCTGGGATGTCTCAGTCTGCCTCTGAAGGAGCTGTCCATGGTCTCCACAGTGGAATGCAGTGGGTGGGAGGGTTTTTTAGGATGGTGGTCATCTTCCCCAGCATCCTCCTTTCACACATCTCAAGTGAATCCAGTGGACAGCTCAGAACCGAGCTAGCTTTGTGAACTAGCTTGTTCAGTCTCTTCCTGTCTCGGTCAGAGCTGCCTGCACCCAAAAAGACCATCAGAGTGGATAACAGAGCCAACCACAGAGTGAGAAAAAGAGGTGGAGGCAGCTTTGGCCCTTTTTATACAGCATCTATGTTGTTGGACCAGTTCAGTTTGCTGTTGAGGTGAACACGCAGGTACTCAAAGGTATCCACCCCCTCAGTGTCTGCTCCCTGGATGTTTACTGGTGAGTGAGGAGGAGTGTTTCTCTGGAAGTCAGTCACCATTTCCTTTGTCTTACTGGTGTTCAAGCGAAGGTGGTTACGCTCACACCAGTCAACAAAGTCCAACATGGCTGACCAGTACTCCTGGTCATTCCGCTCAGACACACAGCTGACAATGGCTGAGTCATCAGAGTACTTCTGGAGGTGACAGCTGTTGGTGTTGTAGGTGAAGTCCGAGTTGTAGAAGGTAAATAGAAAGGTAGATGGCACCGTACCCTGTGGAGCTCCAGCACTGCACACAGCCACCTCAGACGTACTTATAACTTACAGGCCAAAATTCATACAGGGCAATTCAATTCAGTTTATTTCTAAAGCGCCAAATCAGGACCAGAGTCGTCTCAAGGACCTTCACTCAGAAAACATTCCAATACAATTCAGTTCATTAAGCCAATCAGTAAAAAAAAATTCTCTAAGAGAGTAAAATGTTACCAGGAGAGGGAGAATGTTTAGGTGGTTGGCAGCAATGTGCTAGGCAATGGCCCCCTCCACCAATTTTGATTTGTCTAAATGTGTAAACAGTAGTTAATAAAGGCTATGTCACTTCCTGGACTAACCAGTTCTAGCCAGCCTCCCAGTTCGGCCGACCGGGTGAGCAAAGCGCTTGGAACCATCCTCTCTTTTGACTCTAGGTCAAAGCCTCTCTGCAACGCTTGCGAGTGGTATCAGACTGCAACACCTCAGATGTGGAACGTCTAACTAGCAGACCCTGGTAGCATCTCATGGCCGGTGATATCTGAATTCAAAGGGAGCCGAGACTCTGAGACTCTGAGATTCCAGCCACTGTGTCCGGTGACCTCACCACCCCTGGCTGCCTCTCCTCCAGACCACCCAGAGCTATCGTAGATCTGCACACTGGTATCGGATGGGTTTATGAATAATCTATAGGTTGTTAAACCATACAGTCAGACTGATTTTACAACCCAGACATCACAAGATCTCTCAGATACTTGATAAGGTTTTGCTGCATACATCTAGCTTCCATCCCATCATTTCATTCATTATCTGTTGTCTTGTCCAACCATCTGTTGTGAGCCAGGAGGTGAGCACTCTCCACACACACCATTATCTCACCTGTGTTTGAGCTTCTCTGGTTTCAGGAGAGAGATAGCAGCAGCTGCGACCCATCAGCTGATTAGCGGGCTGCCTTCATAAGGAGGACGGAGGACGCTTCTGGTTGCCAGATTTTTACGCCTCACTGGTAGAGTCACAGCCCTCGTGAACGTGAACCTTGTCTTCGAACCTATTTTGTATCGTGTTTTTTGCCTTGACCTAATTCCAGTCTTTTTACGCTCCAGGCTCAGTCATCCCTCCCCATAACCTGCATTCTCGTTTTTGGATTCCTACTGCGTTACCATACAGTTCACGGTCTTCCTCCTCGGTCCTCGTCCTCTCAACTGGTTCCACCCCGCTCACTGCACAGTTTGCCCTCTCTCTCCTACCTGCTGGATACCCATCACTCTGCGCTCATGGACGCTCCCTCGCTCTCCCGGCTCACCCCTCCTCGGACATACTACTCCTCGCTCCCATCCACGCTGCTTCCCGTTCTCTCACCCGCTGGATCCCCAGTGCGCCTTTAGTTATTATTCTAATAAAGATTTTTATTTTTTCCATCCTGCCTCCGAGTCTGACTCTGCATGTCCTGGGTTAAACACTTGCTTCAGAACATGACACCATCACTCATTCATACTTTGTCATGCGTGATCATTAGTTTATAAAAACAAATTAAATTCTATTTTTATAAACTATATCCTTGACTCTGAATTATTAGAAATGTCGGCCATATTGATAGCATAGCATCTTGCAGTTGATGGAGATGTGTGGGATGCACAGCCAGGGCATGAAGCTCCCGTTCCACCAAATCCCAAAGATGCTCTATTGGGTTGAGATCTGGTGACTGTGGGGGCCGTTGTAGTACAGTGAACTCATTGTCATGTTCAAGAAACCAGTTTGAAATGATTGGAGCTTTATGACATGGTGCATTATCCTGCTGGAAGTAGCCATCAGAGGATGGGTACATGGTGGTCATGAAGGGATGGACATGGTCAGAAACAATGCTCAGGTAGCCCGTGGCATTTAAACGATGCCCAGTTGGCACTAAGGGGCCTAAAGTGTGCCAAGAAAACATCCCCCACACCATGACACCACCACCACCAGCCTACACAGTGGTAACAAGGCATGACGGATCCATGTTCTCATTGTGTTTACGCCAAATTCTGACTCTACCGTTTGAATGTCTCAACGGAAATCGAGACTCATCAGACCAGGCAACATTTTTCCACTCTTCAACTGTCCAGTGTTGGTGAGCTGGTGAAAATTGTAGCCTCTTTTTCCTATTTGTAGTGGAGATGCGTTGTACCCAGTGGGGTCTTCAGCTGTTGTAGCCCATCCGCCTCAAGTTTGTGCGTGTTGTGACTTCACAAATGCTTTGCTGCATTCCTCGGTTGTAATGAGGGTTAGGGTTAGGGTCTTCTACCAGCTTGAATCAGTCGGCCCATTCTCCTCTGTCCTCTAGCATCAACGAGGCATTTTGGCCCACAGGACTGCCGCATACTGGATGTTTTTCCCTTTTGACACCATTCTTTGTGAACCGTAGAAATGGTTGTGGGTGAAAATCCCTGTAACTGAGCAGATTGTGGAGTACTCAGACTGGCCCGTCTGGCACCAACAACCATGGCACGCTCAAAATAGCTTAAATCACCTTTCTTTCCCATTCTTACCTTCAGTCTGGAGTTCAGGAGATGGTCTTGACCAGGACCACACCCTTACTTTTGGGTGCAGCAATCTCTACCATAGACCTGCACTAATTGGCGCGTGTGTGCTGGATCCTTAATTATCCTTAACTTAGTTATTAGAATAATGAGCGATGAGGCTATTTTTATGCATTTGTAATGTTAACACTTTTCTAATCGGCGTTTCTCCTGAAAACCTTGTTTTTGACTAGAAATACAATGAAATAATGATTAAATATTTACGTTTTAGACACCTTTCATTTAAACGCATTAGAAACTAGTGTTTAGTGAGTATTTTTAGATCTTTTTTTCTGCCTGCTTGAATTTTGCTGTTGATTAAAAAAACCAGGAATGTAATTCGAAATTACAAATATGTTAAAGATTTATTATTATTTTGTTTAAATAAACTGTCATTTTCATTTTTCTGCCCACAAACCATCATTTTGTAAGGAAGTTAATGGATAGGAAACATGTTAATAGTACATATTTATTAAAATAACTCATTATTCATACGCGCGTTCCCATAACAGGTCATGCAATCCTGCCTGGCATGATCTTTCGGCACAACACCTGTTAAGTTGCGGCACACCGATACAAAATTCACCACCTGCCACTGATGGATGGTCTACCCCAAGAACCAAGGTCCTGGTCCATGGAAATCCAGAACATTCTTTGTTAGTCTGTCTGAATAAAACTGTCTTTCCATCCAGAAGCTGCAGTCTGTTGCTTCAACTGAAGCTGAAATTAGAAACCTGCCCACTTCCACCTTCTGCTTCCACTTCTAAACATCTGTTGATGTTTTCTTTATGTGCACAGCAGAAACATATTCTGACCAACATCTTAAGTGAGGAGCAAACTTACAGAGAGCGGCTCCCCTCCAGCCAGGGGCTTGTAGGTGATCTTGTAGTTCTTGACAGGTCCAGGGGCAGCATCCCACCTCACAGACAATGTGGAGGTGGTGGCATTAAACACACGCAGGTTTCGAGGAGGCTCAGAAGGAACTGGAAGAATAGATTAACACCCAGTTAGAAGAAACTTAAAAGTCCTAGTGTGATAACAAGTGAAGATGAGGATGATGAGGAGGATTCTTCCAGTGTGGTGAAGCTAGGAGGATGAGTGGTTCAGGATGGACAGAGAGGAATGAGGGGATATGGAGCTGGAGTTCAGAAGCTTCTCGTTTAATAACCTGATCACCTTCTGGATCCAAACTCTTTCTGATAAATCAGGTTATTAAATGAAATGTTTGTTCATCTGATCTGCAGTAACATGAAGATGAAGATGGAGTTACTGATGAAGCAGAAGCAGAATGAATGCGGATGATGACCCAGAGTCCAGTGTGGGTCCAGATCTGCTGGTATACTGGACCTGAATGTTGAGGACAGCTTTTGTAACCACCTGGAGCCTCGTGGGTAATCTGGGTAATCGTAATCTTTTATATTTTTGGTTTTAATCTTTGATCCACCTTGTGCTGAAAATGTGCTAAACTTCTAACATTTGACTTGTGGTGCAGGGTGACACACCACGCTGATGTAGCAGCTCCCTCTGAAATCTCATTGTGGTCAGCAGCCCCATCTGGATTGCCTAACTGATGAGTCTGTTTCATGGAGGTCCAGGGATTATGTCCACACCACTAACAGTTTCCCAGTAGGTTCACCAAGTGTCTCCAGTAGACACACAACTATAAAACTGTGCACCCGTGAGTACATCAGGCAGGACGGGTGTGGAGCTGAGAATGTTCCCTCTCTGGAATTCTTGATAGTTTGGCCCTCACGTCTCCACACCAGCATTGGTGCTCCACAGGGCTGCGTGCTGGGCCCCCTTCTGTTCACCCTGTACACATCAGACTGCACCACACTTCACCCAACCAACACAACCACCATGGTTGGTTTCAGTATAAAAGAGCAAATATAAGCAACCTGTCCAGGTGGTACTCACAGAATAACCTGGCCTACTCATACTGGACTTCAGGAGACAAAACCACACACACGTCTCCATCACCATCAACAATGAACGCATTGAATGTGTACCCCACATCAGTCTCTTGGGAATCACCATCTCCTCCAACCTCACTTGGTCTGCCAACACCAGGGCTCTAGTGAAGCAAGCCCAGGAGCGGCCACACTTCCTCCACATATTGAGGAGATGCAGCATGGACTGCAAGATGATGCTGTATGGTTAAAAAAATGTCTCAAAAGATCTCTAAGCACACGTGTGTGTGTGTGTGTGTGTGTGTGTGTGTGTGTGTGTGTGTGTGTGTGTGTGTGTGTGTGTGTGTGTGTGTGTGTGTGTGTGTGTGTGTGTGTGTGTGTGTGTGTGTGCGTGTGTGTGTGTGTGTGTGTGTGTATTTGGTTGGTCGCAGAGGCAAAAACCCGGGCATGGGAGGAGTTCGGTGAGACCATGGAGCAAGCCCCGTACGGCTTTGAGGAGATTCTGGTCCACCATCCGACTCTCAAATCTCTGGTGCTGAGGTCACTGAGGTGGTTAAAAAGCTCCTCTGTGGCAAGGCTCAAGGGGTGGATGAGATCCGCCTGGAGTTCCTCAAGGCTCTGGATGTTGTGGGGCTGTGTTGGCTGATGCGGCTCTGTAATATCGCGTGGACATCGGGGGCAGTTCCACTGGACTGGCAGACCGGGGTTGTGGGCCCCTTATTTAAAAAGGGGTACCGCAGGGTGTGTTTCAACTACAGGGGATCACACTCCTGAGACTTCCTGGTAAGGTCTATTCAGGGGTTCTGGAGAGGAGGGTCCATCGGATTGTCCAACCTCGGATTCAGGAGGAGCAATGTGGTTTTCGTGTTGGCCGTGGAACACTGGACCAGCTCTATACCCTTAGGGGGAGGCTGGGGGGTATGTGGGAGTTCGCTCAACCAATCTACATGTGTTTTATGGATCTGAAGAAGATATTTGACCACGTCCCTTGGAGGGTCTCTTTTGAGACTTTTTTCTCCCCACTTCTAAAAGTGCTCAGTAGAGTCTTACCACATAGCCTAGAAGATCGTTAGCTAACCCCTGACCTCCCTAAAAGACAGCTGATGAGCAACGACCCCTCCCACCCTGCAGACAGCCTGTTTGAGCAGCTGCCCTTAAGACGGCGTTACAGATCAGATCAAAGACCACCAGGCTCACAAACAGCTTCTCCACCTGGCCCATAACACCTAAAGCACACAACCCCACCCCCGAAGCTATCGCTGTATTAAATAAAGCACAAACTAACAACATTGTCTAAATTAAACTGTGCCGCTCACTGTGTGCACATTAGTATAGCGTGCATGTGCACATCCTGGAGTACATACCACTTACCAGGTGTGTGTGCAGTGTTATGCCCTGTTCTATGTCCTGTGTAAAGTTGTGGGCGGACCAACCGCAATTTACAGTAGCTGCTCCCCGAAGCAACTACAATATAATCTGTTTTATTTTAATGCCTGTCAGTCAGACTGATGTCCCAAACCTGAACCCACTGAATTTTCTTCCTAAGATCGACTGAGTTAAAGGAATCATATCATGACATTTTCCGGTCTCAGCAGTTTTATTCTCGACCCTCCAGAATGAGCCATTTCAGGACCTTGTCTATTTAGGAAAACAAGGTGGAGCTGGCCACGCCCACCCACCACCAGGGGTGGATCTAGGCTAGCGTTCCTTACTGTGACATCATAAATGGGGATCGTTTTCAAATGGCTCATTTTGGCGGATCATCCCTGAAACCAAACGCTGGAAAAAAAAACAGACGGGCGCATTTTAAATGTTTGGAGTGTTTGTAGTTCTGTATCATTCGTCCCTGGATCAGAATTATTATTTTTAATCACCGACTCATTACCCAGCTGGAATGATGGATGTAGACGTGAAAACCTGTTAGTTGGGTTTCTGGTGGGATGACGGCACAGCATGAAAACAAACATGCAAGACAACGTGTGTTTGTCAGGAACTATCTGGGTCCATGTTACCATTCAACACAGAACCATGAGCAAAACAGAGAACCCGTCCTCATGTCACATACCATCTGAAGCCTTTAACACTAAAAAAGAGAAAACGCATGGTTTCAGGGCAGCTCCAGCTGGACAGTAAGGATCATGGTGCTCAGAAGACTTCGGCTATCTTACGTGTCCGCTCGCTCCCCATCAGATCTTCACTCTCTGATTCATCAGGGTAGATGGCTGTGACCGTCACCAGGTACTCTGAGTCAGGGTCCAGGTTCTCCATGGTGTAGGTGGTCTCATCATGATTCAGGATGGCCTGGTGAAGGACAAAGTCCAGACTAGTTTCTGACCTCAACACAAAGGACAGAAAGAGCTGACTGATAGGATCTACAGTGGGATGTGAACGTTTGGGCAGCCTGTAAATCGTTGGTTGTTGTGATAAAAAACTTCAGATTAATATGTCAAACAGGAAACTCATAGTGATGTTTGAGAAGTTAACGGAAGGATGAAGGTGTGCGATAACTGTTTAAACTGAATAAGGCAGGTGCATACATTTGGGCACCATAAAAAGAAATGAACTAAATATTTAGTAGCTCCTCCTTTAGCAGAAACAGCCTCTAAACTCTTCCTATAGCTTCCAATGAGAGTCTGGATCCTGGATGAAGGTACTTCGGACCATTTTTCTTCACAAAACATCTCCAGTTCATTCAGGTCTGATGACCAAGCATGGACAGCTCTCTCTAACTCACACAGCAGATGCTCAATGATATTCAGGTCTGGAGACTAAGATGGCCGTTCCAGAACGTTCTACTAGTTCCTCTGCATGAAGGCCTTAGTAGTCGTTGAGCAGCGTTTAGAGTCGTCTTGTTGAACGTTCCAGCCTGGTGCGGCTTCAGCTTTGTCACTCATTCCTGGACATTGCTCTCCAGAATCTACTGATATTGAGTGGAAACCATGCGTCCCTCAACTTCAACAAGATTCCTAGTCCCTGCACCAGCCACACAGCCCACTGCATGATGGACCCACCACCATGTTTTACTGTAGCTAGCAGGTGTTTTCTTGGAATGCTGTGCCCTGTTTCCTCCATGCATGGCGCCCTTGTTACACCCAAATAACTCAATTTTAGTTTCATTAGTCCAAGCTGGCTTTTGCAGATGTGCTTTAGCATACATCAGCTCTGTTGTGCTGTGGGCGGAGAAAAGGTTTGCTCTGCATCCCTCTCACATGCAGCACCTCCTTGTGTAAAGTGCACTGGTCCCGTGGGTTGACTGTTCTCACCATAACCCTAACCCTTTTGTTTATCGAAGATTTTTCTTTGTCTGCCACTTTGAGCCTGAATTTGAACCGTGCCTGTGGTCTTCCATGTCCTCAGCATATTCCTAACTGTGGGAACGGACAGCTTTCTGAATCCGTCCCCTAAACCATGATGGTGAACAGTCTGTTTTCAGCTCATGTGAGACTTGTTTGAGACCCTTAAGTTGCTGCTCTGTAGAGAACATTCACTGAGGAGGGAAACTTACAGTTGGCCCCCTTAAATATTTTTTCCTCATAAATGAAGTCATCTGTGTATGGAGGTCAGGGGTCACTGAGCTTACTAAGCCAATTTTGAGTTCCAATAATTAGTTCTAAAGGTTTGGAACCAATCAGATAACAGCAGTGCCCAAATGCATGCACCTGCCTACTTTGGTTTAAATAATTAAAGCACACTCTCTGTAAACCCTATAAACTTTGTTTCACTTCTCAAATATCTGTGTGTGTAGGTTCACATTTCTGTTATCCTTTTCAAGGACAGATGTCCAAATATCAGCAAGTAAGACTCCAAAAGCTGTCGTCTGAAGCTCAGCTGTGATGTGGGTAACCAGTCTACTGCCCATCCTTTTGTAAGGAAGCAGCTGGATAAAAACTGTTTAATAGTGCACATTTATTAAAAAGCTGCCGGGTTACTCATGTGCAGGGCATGCTCTTCAGCACAACTCCTGGTAAAATGTGCCCCGCCCTAAAAAACGTCACCAGCCGCCACTGTGCAGCTCCTAATTCACCTCTGGGCCAGGTAAAGGAATGGACTCTGGTTCCAGCAGACCTGTTCTCCGTCCGTTGATCTGACTGGTGTCCAGCGACAGAACACCAGAGCTTCATGTGGGTTTCTTTGGCTCCATTTCATGGCTCAGAAGAACTTATGACACTCACAGCCAAGGAAAGTCTTAAATCTGAGCTTCATGTAAACAGCACTGCTGACTCAGCTTCCTCTGATGGACTTACATCCTGAGAGGCAGCTTCACCCTTCTTGGTCCAAGTGAGTCGGTACAAGGCCACATCAGGGGCACCGTGCTCCCACGCGGCCCTGAACGATGTTTGGGTCACCTCAGAGAATTGCAAGTTCTTGGGAGCAGGAACAACATCTGAGGAACGTCAGGAGACTTCAGATACAAAACTTTAGAAGCATCACATCAGAGCCCAACTAACACCTGGGCACAAAGCAGTGAGTGAGAAAATGACAGCAGTTCTAGTAATGGGATTACTTTTTCAACAGATTACTATCTGAATGCTACATAACAAGGTTGGAGGTCTAGGTCTGACTGGTCTGGTGGTTCAAGTAGACCTCCAGCTTTCTCATCAGCTGGATCGAACACTTCAGTAAATGGATGTCTGACCTGTGACGGCAGTTCCAAGCATCACGGTCCCAGGGCCTTCGTCATAAACCGGAGTCACAGCAACATCATACTCAGTCTGAGAGATGAGACTGGTCAGAACCTGGGTGGTGATGTCACCATTAACTTCAACCTGCCAGTAAAAACATGTCATTAAGTTACTTCCTGCTAAATGGTCAGGTCTCCCTGGGCTGGATGGTCCTTGGGGAGGACAAAGAGGTTCATAAGACAGAAGACAGCAAATAATCCAACTCTACCTCCTTCAGATCTCCTTCCTCGGGTTTATAGGTGATGATGTATTGACGAACGGCTCCAGGAGCTGCGTCCCAGTTCACCTTCATGCTGCTGTGAGTGACATCAGAGATCCTCAGGGCTCCGGCAGGAGGAACAGGTACTGAGGGACAACAGGGAAACTCATTTCAGATCCCTGATGCAGAAGGGATGTCGGGATACACTGAAAACTCAGAGCTGAGGAAACAAGTGACTTCAGGAGAACCGAGTCCTGCAGTGACTTCCCAACCTGCCTGAGCATGGAAACGGGAAAGCCTCCAAAGGAAAGCCTCATCAAGATGACATCAGAGGTTGCCACTGATACAACATGTGCTTTAATCAAGCACAAATGCCTTTCTGCCCCATTTTTCTCATACATTTATTCACATCTTTGATTAAAATTAGAATCAGGTTCAAAAACTGACCCGACATCCCAAAATAAACACAAGAACCTTTCCCTGAACTACTGTTTCAGTACAACTCATCCTCCAGAGATAGCATCCTACAGGTATAGCCGATTCTCTGCTCCAAACGAGCTTCTGTAGAACTTCCCTTGGTTCAGAGTTGATTCAGCAGGAAGAAGGTCCAATGTGAAGATAAAACCTGGCAATCTCTGGCCTAAATCTAAACTCCAGATTAAAAACGTCTCTGACTAACAGAACTACATGAATTTGTCTATAAAGTCTGGGAAAAACACAACAAATCCCACCAGTTGGATTAAAGACAAAATCCTACAGCTACTTCCCTCCTTTGGAGGCTCTGAAGATGTCAGAATTTAAGGTAAAAATTTTGCTGTGCTGTTTATTAAGCGAGAAAAAAACGAGAGGAGCGTCATTCATTCAGATTCCTTCCTTCACAAATTATTTTCCATAATAAAAGGTGGACTTCTGAAGCAGGATCATTGAAAATGTAGACATGAGGAATTACAGGTGACTCCGCGGTCTTCCAGAGCATCGCTGGTCATCTCGCCGTGTCGGGCCAAGACGCTGATGGAATACTCCGTGTTGGGAATCAACTGCAGCAGCTGGGTGTTCGTCACATCTCCCAAAACACGAATCTGCAGAGAAAGTGTGCATGAGGAAGAGCACCAACTGACCAGATCTGGATCAGCATAAACAGAAACACTGGCTCCAGTTACACCATACCAGCTTATTCCTATAACACAGTTAAACACAGCATGGGAGCCGACCCAAACCCTAACCCACACAACAGAATACCACAAGACAGGCTGAACAGCAGACGAGAACAGTCCAACAAAACCACTAACAAAGGCATCAAATCAGCAACGGCCAGGCCAGAAAAGTTAGTCTTAAAGCAACATTTGAAACAGGAGAGATGAAGCCTGTCTGATCCACAGAGGAAGTAAGCTCCAGACTGAAGGGGCGGCACACACAAAAGCCCGTTACCCCTGCAATTTATATCTCATCCGAGGTGTGGAGAGAAGATCAGCATTCCTCAGAGCATGCATAGGGTCATAAAGGGCATGCAGCTCAGACAGGTAAGGGGGTGCCAGGCGCTTAAAGGTAAAGATCGGGACCTTTAACCATAGCCTAAAGGTCACAGGAAGCCAGTGAGGCTGTACCAGCACCGGAGTAACATGATCACAGTGACTAATGCTTGTCATGAACCTAGCAGCAGCATTCCACCCAACCTGCAGCGATTCAAAGCCGAGACGGAGGTGTTGATAAGTGCATTGGCAAAGTCTAAGCAGGCGGTTTCAACATGTGAGGGACAGATCCCAGGTGCCTCAGTGTCAGAATTGGTTTTAAGCGTGTTGGTGCAACTGGAAATTTTAATAACTCCACCACTGAATTTATCTGAGGGAGCATTGAGAGAGAGACCAGCATCCAGTATTTACCCCCAAGGCTAGTCACACATTGCTTAAAATTGAGGTCAGAAATGTCAGTAAACCAGTTCTACAGAACCAAGATCAGGTCTGGGGTGGGCCGCTAGTTTAAACGGGGTCTTCTGAGTCAGGGTCAGGGTCCAGATCCATGTCAAAGTCAGGATCAGGGGCCTCTCCTGGGTTCTACTTTACCTCATTCTCCTCCTGAGGCTCGGAGGCATTGATGGATCTGTAGAGCAGCAGGTACCCAGTGGCACCAGGTACAGCATCCCACTTCACCCTCATGCTGTTCATGGTCTCATCGTAGACGTTCATGTTCTTCACAGCTGGCAGAGGCACTGAAGGGACAGAACCAGAAGTCAGAGTAACCCAAAAGGACCACATCTGTGTTTTCTGAAAACTAACAGGAAGAAGGAAACACTCACAGGTGGTTTCTGAGCCCTGAAGAGGCTCACTGCTCACGTCTCCAGCTATGGCATAAACATTGACCTTGTACTGGGTCAGGGGCGTCAGGTCGGGCAGCAGCACGGTTGTCGAGGTACTGTCAACCAACAGCTGAAACAACAAAGACTCCTTTTCATTTAGCTACCTGTTAGGGGGAATACCACCTCACCTGAAAAAGGAGACATGGCTCCAAAACAGGTTCAAATTATCGATGAACCCAAAACTGAAGCCAGGAGTTACCTCTGAACTGTTTGTGTCTCTCAGTTTATCTTATTTTACCTTTATGTTTGACCTTATCTGCTGTTCTTTGCTGTAAAACTAACTGTGTGTGTTGCTGCTGCCTCGTGGCCAGATTCTCGTAAATGACAATGAGTTCTCATTCGAGCTCATTCGAGAATAAAGATTCAAATAAAAATGTTTAAGTTAAGGGATGGCTGCTCTGCCAGCAGTTTGGACGTTAACACAGCTCGAACGTCAGCGTGCACCCCCACAAATTATACATCCAAACGAGCGGCTCGGCCATGGGAGGTGTGCTGTTACTGTTCTAAGTGTTTCGATTGACCATAGTTAAATTGCTAGCCAAAAACACGTGTGCTACTCTAATTTCACATAATTATTGACCATGTACATAACTGATTAATTAGATAACATGCCCTCTAAAGAGGTATTTTACATATATATGCATGTATGTGGACATTTTTTTTTATTTTTTATACTGATTCACAACAAGATGGCCGCTGGACAGGTGTGCCTGTGAGAGGCTCTCCAAACAATTTAAGAAGATTCTATTTAAAAGTGCTTGGAATGATGAAAATTTGTGTGGAAATCCTCTGAAACCAAGACCTTTTACTGCAAGTTGATAAATTTATGACTGGAGCTGTGGAATATGCCAAAACCAAGGCAAAAGCAATCCTCCAAACAAATGGAAGAAGGTGCTCACAAACAAATGGAGAACAATCAACTGGAATCAGCTGAGGACATGACACCAACAAAATCTTCAGGTATGGCTGAAATACTCAAAGAACTGAGAGAATTTCGAACTGAAACATCAGCCAGCTTTGGAGCATTAAAAACAGAATTGAATGAGCTACGAGCAGAGTTCACGAGCATCAAAAAAAGAATGGAGGAAGCTGAACAGAGAATTGTTGAGAGTGAAGACTATGCAATGAAAACCTCCAATGTGTTAATACAAGTGGTCCAGATGCAAAAACAACTAGAAATGAAATGTGAGGCACTTGAGAGCCAAGCTCGCAAAAACAATATAAGAATCTACTCTGTACCTGAGAGTTGTGAAGAAAATAACATCATTGAGTTTGTGAACACCAATGCGCATTCCGAGGAGGAACCAGAGCTGGCAGGCCTGGGGATGGACTGTCCGATCTCGGGGGCAGAAGTTGCTGAGGTAGTCAAACAACTACACAGCGGCGGAGCCCCGGGGGCGGATGAGGTTCGTCCTGGGTATCTCAAGGCTATGGATGTTGTAGGGCTGTCGTGGTTGACACGTCTCTACAACATTGCGTGGTCATCGGGGGCAGTTCCTAGGGAGTGGCAGACCGGGGTGGTGGTCCCCATCTTTAAGAAGGGTGACCTGAGGGTGTGTTCCAACTATAGGGGGATCACACTCCTCAGCCTCCCTGGAAAGGTCTACTCCAAGGTACTGGAGAGGAGGGTCCGATCGATAGTTGAATCTCAGATAGAGGAGGAGCAATGTGGTTTTCGTCCTGGCCGTGGAACTGTGGACCAGCTCTATACCCTTGCAAGGGTGATGGAGGGGGCATGGGAGTTTGCCCAACCAATCCACATGTGCTTTGTGGATTTGGAGAAGGCTTATGACCGTGTCCCCAGGGGCACCCTGTGGGGGACGCTCCAGGAGTATGGGGTGGGTGGCTTTCTGTTAAGGGCCATTCAGTCCCTTTACCAGAGGAGCGTGAGTTTGGTCCGCATAGCCGGTAGTAAGTCGGACCTGTTCCCAGTGAGGGTTGGACTCCGCCAGGGCTGCCCTTTGTCACCGGTTCTGTTCATCACTTTTATGGACAGAATTTCTAGACGCAGCCGTGGTGTGGAGTGTGTCGAGTTTGGTGGCAGGAGAATCTCGTCTCTGCTTTTTGCGGATGATGTGGTCCTCCTAGCTCCATCCAGCTCTGACCTTCAGCTCTTGCTGGGTAGGTTCGCGGCCGAATGTGAAGCGGCTGGGATGAGGATCAGCACCTCCAAATCTGAGACCATGGTTCTCGACCGGAAAAGGGTGGCTTGCCATCTCCGGGTCGGGGGAGAGGTCCTACCTCAAGTGGAGGAGTTTAAGTATCTCGGGGTCTTGTTCACGAGTGAGGGTAGGAGGGATCGGGAGATCGACAGGCGGATTGGTTCGGCGTCTGCAGTGATGCGGACGCTGAGCCGATCTGTCGTGGGGAAGAGGGAGCTGAGCCAGAAAGCCAGGCTCTCGATTTACCGGTCGATCTACGTCCCAATCCTCACCTATGGTCATGAGCTTTGGGTAATGACCGAAAGAACGAGATCGCGGATACAAGCGGCCGAAATGAGTTTCCTCCGTAGGGTGGCCGGGCTCAGCCTTAGAGATAGGGTGAGGAGCTCGGACATTCGGGAGGGACTCGGAGTAGAACCGCTGCTCCTCCGGATCGAAAGGAGCCAGTTGAGGTGGTTTGGGCATCTGGTCAGGATGCCTCCTGGACGCCTCCCCGGGGAGGTGTTTCGGGCATGTCCTGCCGGCAGAAGGCCCCCGGGTCGACCCAGGACACGTTGGAGAGGTTACATCTCCAATCTGGTCCGGGAACGCCTTGGGGTCCTGCCGGAGGAGCTGGTGGACAAGGCCGGGGAGAGGACGGCCTGGAGCTCCCTAATTGGGATGCTGCCCCCGCGACCCGGACCCGGATAAGCGGAGGAAGACGAAGACGAAGAAGACGAAGAGTTTGTGAACAAACTGGCCCGTGAAAAACTGGATGTGATTGATGATTTGAATATTGAGAGAGCACATCGTGTTGGGCCAAAGATGGGACATAGGGAGCGCCCCAGAGCAATCTTGGTTCGATTCCAGTCATACGCCATGAAACAGAAAGTATTGGAGGCTGCTTGGAGAAAAAGGAATGTTCAAGTGACAGACCAAAGGATTTATTTCGATGAGGATTTTACAAGCGCTGTGTTCAAGGAGCGGGCTAAATACAAGGAGGTGCGGAAAATACTCAACGAAAGAAAAGTGAAGTCACGGATCTTGTTTCCAGCGAGACTGAAACTCTTTTGTGAAGATGGAAAAGTGAAGGTGTATAGTGACCCCCATGCTGCTGCTATTGGTCTACGTGAGTTTGGAGTAAACATGAATATTCCAGAAGAGGCTCCCGATCTGGAATCAACGCTGAGGAGTGCAGGATGGGAGTCAGTTCATGCTCAACGGAGAACAAGTCCTGGTCATGAATTGATTAAAGGAGTCAACACTCTTCTGAAAAGTCACAAGAGTTGAGGTACTTTTGTGAAAAATAGTTGATGGCAAATTCTGCTGTGAAAACTCTGAAAAGATTTGAAGTTACTGAATATAACACACTTGACTATGAAAACAATATTGATCCAGATGGTAATCTGTTAAATACAATCAATGATAACTGTAAATATTACACAAATGATCAGTTTAATAGTTCTGTAGATTTAGGTCATTTCTCACTTATCCACTTTAATTGTAGAAGTCTTTACGTTAGTTTTGACCAAATTAATGCATATATGAAAACATTTAAGCACCAATTTGAAGTGATTGCTTTATCTGAAACATGGTTAAATGAAGAAAAGGGTACAGATTTTGATATGGTAGGGTACCATTTGTTTTATACAAACAGAGGAAAGAAAAAAGGTAGAGGGGTTGCACTGTACGTCAAAAGTGCCTTGAAGTGTAAATTACTGGACTCCATGGCAGTAGCTGTGGAAGATATGATGGAATGTGTAGCTGTTGAAATAGAAATGGAAAAAACTAGAAACATTATAGTAGCCTGTATATATAGAACACCTGGCTCCAATTTACAATGTTTTAAAGAAAGATGCGAAACTCTCATAGATGGATTAAATGACAACAAATCCTGGTTAATATGTGGAGATTTCAATATTGATTTACTTAACCAGAGAAACAAAATGACTAGAGACTTTATGGATGTGATGTCCAGCAGGAGTTTATATCCTGTGATCACTCAGCCTACTAGAATCACCAGTACCTGTGCTACATTAATAGACAATATTTATACAAATGAAATTGAGAAGACAGCTAACAGTGGTCTCCTAATTAGTGATATAAGTGATCATCTACCAATTTTTATAATACATAAAAATGCATTCAAAAAAACCTAAGGAGTTAGATCAGATAAAACATGTTAGAATAAGGACAGAGGATGCTATAACAGCATTTTGTAATGACTTGTTGAAGGAGAACTGGAGTGGGGTTTATGTGAAGGATGTGAACGTGGCATATGATACGTTCTTAAAAACATATAAATCTTTATATAATAAGAACTGCCCTGTAGTTGTCTGTAGAAAAAAGATAAATATGAATGTAGAACCGTGGTTAACTAAGGGACTACTAAAATCTTGTAAAAGGAAAAACAAATTATACAGAGATTTTGTCAGATACCGAACCAAAGCCACAGAAATGAAGTACAAAATATACAAAAATAAATTGACATAATTAATAAGACAAGCAAAAAAAGATCATTATAATTTAAGGCTGAAGGAAAGCATAGGTGACATGAAAAGAACATGGAGAATTCTGAATAGTGTCATAAGATCCAGGTCTCAGCATGCCCGTTATCCAGATTTCTTTACTAACGGAGATAAGATCTTGAGGGATAAAGCTGAGGTGGTAAATGAACTTAATTCATTTTTTGTAAACATAGGACCAAGTTTGGCCAAATCTCTGGAAACACAAACTAATGAAGCTGGAAAAATACAAGGAGGGAGCAAAATTTTACAGTCTATGTTTTTAGGGGATGTAAGTGAAAATGAAGTTTTGACGATAGTTAGGAAAAGTAAAAATAAAACATCCACAGACTGTGACGGGATTGACATGATGATTGTAAAGAAAACTATTGATTATGTTGTCAAACCATTCACTTATATCTGTAATTTGTCTGTTCAGAGTGGTACATTTCCAGAAAAAATGAAAACTGCAAAAGTAATTCCAATTTTTAAAAATGGTGATAGACATAAGTTTGATAATTATAGACCAATCTCAGTGCTTTCTCAGTTTTCTAAAGTGCTTGAGAAATGGTTTGTTCAGAAACTAGATAACTTTATTGAGAAGGAAAACCTCCTGAGTGAGAGTCAGTATGGGTTTCGATCACATAAATCTACATCCCTGGCTTTATTGGAATTAAATGAAGAACTTTCATCAGCAATAGAAAAAAAACAATATACAGTGGGGTTGTTTATTGATTTAAAGAAGGCATTTGACACAATAGATCATAGTATTTTACTCTCCAAGCTGAGGGATTATGGGATACGTGGAATCGCCCATGACTGGTTAAGTAGTTATTTGACCAATAGAAATCAATTTGTACAGTTAGATGTTGAAATTTCAGATTCACTAGAGATTACACACGGTGTCCCACAGGGGTCAGTGTTGGGCCCTAAGCTTTTTATTCTATATATAAATGACATTTGTGATGTGTCCAAAGTATTACAGTTCATATTGTTTGCTGATGACACGAATATATTTTGTTCTGGAAATGATTTAGAAATTATTATTCAAAATATGGTTTGTGAAATGTCTAAACTTAAGAAGTGGTTTAATGACAATAAATTATTTCTCAATTGGAATAAAACAAAATTCATGGTTTTTGGTAAGAGAAAAACTAATGATTTAGTTACATTGTCTATTGATGTTTTTTTAATTGATAGAGTAAATGAAGTCAGATTCTTAGGGGTTCTCTTGGACCATAAACTTACTTGGAAATCCCATATAAAATATATAAAACAAAAAATATCCAAAAGTATTGTAATTTTAAACAAAGTCAAAGGTTTTCTAGAAATTTCAACGCTTCAGACATTATATTACTCATTTATCTTACCATACTTAACTTATTGTATTGAGGTTTGGGGCAATACGTAAAAAACAAACACTAATCCTTTGTTTCTGTTACAGAAGAAAGTTTTGCGAATTCTATATAAAGCAAATCCAAGAGAACATACTAACAAATATTTTGTTCTATCTAAAATTATGAAATTCAAAGACTTAGTTAACTTGAAAATTTTACTAATTATGTTTAAGGCTAGAAATAATTTGCTGCCAACTAATCTACAAAGGTTCTTTGTTTTAATCCCAAAAAATGATAAGAGTAGAAAGAAACCAGAGTTTAAAAGGATATTTGTTCGTACTACATTAAAGCAAATGTGTATTTCAATATATGGTGTGAAATTATGGAATAACCTGGATGATGAATTAAAAAAATGTACAACTACTGATCAATTCAAAAAAATGTATAAAGATAAAATGCTAAAATCGTATGATTTGGTAAGTTGAGGATGGAGGATTAATGTTTTAGTAGTGATATTATTTGTGGAATTAAGAGAGCGGTTTATTTTTTGTGTATAAGGCCATTGTTGTAATTTTTGTACTTTTTGTTTATCTTGTCTTAGTTAAAGGGGGTAGGTCATATAAGATTTTTTCTTCTTCCTCCCCCTGTTTCACTTGAATGCTTATATTCTGATTTCAAGTTTGTATATTTAAACTTTGAGTGAAATAAAGTATTGAATTGAAAAAATTGAATTATGAAGATTTTATTATTTTTTAAACCTAACGTCACCCAAACATCAGGATTTGGCCTCTGTAGCATGTGGCCACTATCTTGTGACAGCTGGCAGATCTCTTAACATTTCTACAGTGCTACTTGAGTGCTATTGAGCCAGAAACCAAGGAGAAACCAGACTGCTGAACCAGGTGAAATCTTTAGCTTTGTGAGCGATCTCTCACCTCCAGAGTGGGTCCCCCGCTCACCATCACGTAGGTAACCCTGTATTTTTCCACAGGTGTGTTGGGAGCTGTCCAGGTGGCTCTAAAGGATTGGTAGGTTACCTCTGAAGTCACCAAGTTGGTAGGAGCCCCTAGTTCAGAATCTGGATGGGAACAAATGAGACCTGAAAGTGTTGATCTGCTGGAACAGCTGATAAGGGTTTAACTGAACCCTTTAATTCCTCATTCTGTTATTTATTTATTTTTATAATTAAAGTTTTTATTATTTTCAGATTTTTTATAACATACAAAAACATACAAAAACAAAAGAAAACACACAGGCTTGTGCACCCCCCCCCCCACCCCCCCCCACCCCACCCCACCCCCTCTTTCTCTTCCAGGGTACCAATGACTAACCCCCAAATTCCACTACTTCCGCTCCGGTCCGCCCCCGCCCTCCGCAGCCGCTCGCTTCCGAACTCAATTTTTACTGGTACCCGCTCCTCAACGGCTCCGCTCCGGTGCGGAGACCTGAGGTGGGCAAATAAGCATGCGCGGGATTTTCGAGATCTTGCGATACAGTCTGAGCAATAAACGCGGAAGTTAGATCCAGACACCCGTTGTGTGGGAGAAGCATCGGCATGAGCGGTTTAATCTGCCCATCATTTGTGTGTAGAGATCAGCAGTGTTTGGATCAACAAAGTGTGACTACTTTGATAGTGGAAATTGTCTCTCTCTCGTCTCTCTCGTCTTCCTCCGCTTATCCGGGTCCGGGTCGCGGGGGCAGCATCCCAACTAGGGAGCTCCAGGCCGTCCTCTCCCCAGCCTTGTCCACCAGCTCCTCCGGCAGGACCCCAAGGCGTTCCCGGACCAGATTGGAGATGTAACCTCTCCAACGTGTCCTGGGTCGACCCGGACAGGACATGCCCGAAACACCTCCCCGGGGAGGCGTCCAGGAGGCATCCTGACCAGATGCCCAAACCACCTCAACTGGCTCCTTTCGATCCGGAGGAGCAGCGGTTCTACTCCGAGTCCCTCCCGAATGTCCGAGCTCCTCACCCTATCTCTAAGGCTGAGCCCGGCCACCCTACGGAGGAAACTCATTTCGGCCGCTTGTATCCGCGATCTCGTTCTTTCGGTCATTACCCAAAGCTCATGACCATAGGTGAGGATTGGGACGTAGATCGACCGGTAAATCGAGAGCCTGGCTTTCTGGCTCAGCTCCCTCTTCCCCACGACAGATCGGCTCAGCGTCTGCATCACTGCAGACGCCGAACCAATCCGCCTGTCGATCTCCCGATCCCTCCTACCCTCACTCGTGAACAAGACCCCGAGATACTTAAACTCCTCCACTTGAGGTAGGACCTCTCCCCCGACCCGGAGGTGGCAAGCCACCCTTTTCCAGTCGAGAACCATGGTCTCAGATTTGGAGGTGCTGATCCTCATCCCAGCCGCTTCACATTCGGGCGCGAACCTACCCAGCAAGAGCTGAAGGTCAGAGCTGGATGAAGCTAGGAGGACCACATCATCCGCAAAAAGCAGAGACGAGATTCTCCTGCCACCAAACTCGACACACTCCACACCACGGCTGCGTCTAGAAATTCTGTCCATAAAAGTGATGAACAGAACCGGTGACAAAGGGCAGCCCTGGCGGAGTCCAACCCTCACTGGGAACAGGTCCGACTTACTACCGGCTATGCGGACCAAACTCACGCTCCTCTGGTAAAGGGACTGAATGGCCCTTAACAGAAAGCCACCCACCCCATACTCCTGGAGCGTCCCCCACAGGGTGCCCCTGGGGACACGGTCATAAGCCTTCTCCAAATCCACAAAGCACATGTGGATTGGTTGGGCAAACTCCCATGCCCCCTCCATCACCCTTGCAAGGGTATAGAGCTGGTCCACAGTTCCATGGCCAGGACGAAAACCACATTGCTTCTCCTCTATCTGAGATTCAACTATCGATCGGACCCTCCTCTCCAGTACCTTGGAGTAGACCTTTCCAGGGAGGCTGAGGAGTGTGATCCCCCTATAGTTGGAACACACCCTCAGGTCACCCTAATTAAAGATGGGGACCACCACCCCGGTCTGCCACTCCCTAGGAACTGCCCCCGATGACCACGCAATGTTGTAGAGACGTGTCAACCATGACAGCCCTACAACATCCATAGCCTTGAGATACCCAGGACGAACCTCATCCGCCCCCGGGGCTCCGCCGCTGTGTAGTTGTTTGACTACCTCAGCAACTTCTGCCCCCGAGATCGGACAGTCCATCCCCAGGCCTCCCAGCTCGGGTTCCTCCTTGGAATGCGCACTGGTGGGATTGAGGAGCTCCTCAAAGTATTCCTTCCACTGTCCGACTATAGCCTCAGTTGACGTCAGCAGCTCCCCATCCCCACTGTAAACAGTGTGAGCGAGTTGCTGCCTTCCTCTCCTGAGGCGCCGGACAGTTTGCCAGAACCTCTTTGGAGCCGATCGATAGTCTTTCTCCATGGCCTCACCAAACTCCTCCCACGCCTGAGATTTTGCCTCGGCAACTGCCACTGCTGCACCCCGCTTGGCTATCCGGTACCTGTCTGCTGCCTCCGGAGACCCACAGACCAGCCACGCCCTGTAGGCCTCCTTCTTCAGCCTGACGGCTCCCCGAACCTCTGGTGTCCACCAGCGGGTACGGGGGTTGCCACCACGACTGGCACCGGCCACCTTACGACCACAGCTAGCAACAGCCGCCTCGACAATCGCAGAGTGGAACAAGGCCCACTCGGACTCAATGTCCCCCACTGCTCTCGGGACGTGGTCAAAGCTCTGCCGGAGGTGGGAGTTGAAGACCGTCTTGACAGGTTCTTCTGCCAGGCGTTCCCAGCAGACCCTCACTATGCGTTTGGGTCTGCCAGGTCTACGCGGCATGTTCCCTTGCCATCTGATCCAACTCACCACCAGGTGGTGATCAGTTGACAGCTCCGCCCCTCTCTTCACTCGGGTGTCCAAAACATATGGCCGCAGGTCAGATGATACGACTACAAAATCTATCATCGACCTGTGACCTAGGCTGCCCTGGTACCAAGTGTACCGGTGGGCATCCTTATGTTCGAACATGGTGTTCGTTATGGCCAAACTGCGGCTTGCACAGAAGTCCAATAATGAAACACCACTCGAGTTCAGATTAGGTGGGCCGTTCCTCCCAATCACACCCCTCCAGGTCAAGCTGTCATTGCCCACGTGAGCATTGAAGTCCCCCAGCAGGACAATGGAGTCCCCTGATGGAGCACTATCTAGCACTCGTCCCAGGGACTCCAAAAAGGGTGGGTACTCTGAACTGATATTTGGCCCATAAGCACAAACAACAGTCAGGACCCGTTCCCCGACCCGAAGGCGCAAGGAAGCTACCCTCTTGTCCCCCGGGGTAAACCCCAACACACAGGCAGAGAGTCTCGGGGCTAACAAAAAGCCAACCCCAGCCCTCCGCCTCTCACCCGGAGCAACTCCAGCAAAGTAGAGTGTCCAACCCCTCTCCAGGTCTCGGGTTCCAGAGCCAATGCAATGTGTCGAGGTGAGTCCGACTATATCTAGCCGGTACCGCTCAACCTCTGCCACAAGCTCCGGCTCCTTCCCCGCCAGCGAGGTGACGTTCCATGTCCCAAAAACTAGTTTTCTTGTCCGGGGATTGGACCGCCAAGGCTCCCGCCTTGGTCTGCCACCCGATTCGCATTGCACCGGACCCTTCATGTTCCTCCTGCGGGTGGTGGGTCCACAGTTGGACGAGCCCATGTATCCGGTTCGGGCTGGGCCCGGCCGGGCCCCATGGGCGAAAGCCCGGCCACCAGGCGCTCGCTCACGGGCCCCAACCCCAGGCCTGGCTCCAGGGTGGGAGCCCGGTAACCCTCCGGGCCGGGTACTCCGACTCTTCGTTTTAACCGCCATGAAAGATCCTTCGAACCGTTCTTTGTCTCACCCTTCACCTAAGACCAATTTGTCATGGGAAATTGTATTTATGGCTTACTTTTGTGCATTTAAACTTCAGCCGCCATTGATAGTTGATAAAAGTTGTTAAACCATGAAACAAAAACGCCTTTTGTTTATCGATTAATTGTGAAAAACGGAAATTGTGCTTGCTCCTTTTCCTGTTGGGCCGTTGTGATTTCTGTCCATTGACTGCGGAGGTGCTCCGGCGTCCGGCAAAAATAGGATCGATTCTATTTTTGCCGGACGCCGGAACAGAGGGCGGCGCACGGCGCCGCACTGCCGGAGCACGGCCGCAGTAGTGGAATTGCTCTGATTGACTACAACGGGACCGATTTTTCTCCGGCATTCGTGTCGGAGCGGAGCACAGCGGAGCGGAGGTAGTGGAATTTGGGGGTAAGAGTTTCGGGTTCAGCTATCACAGCTACATAGACCAGTAGCCATACCTAATTCAGGGTCAGTTAGGAATCCAAAATCCAGGCAGTGAGGCATTAGATTTCAAAGTTTTATGTAACATTTTTCAATGTTCCCCAAAAGCTGTTCCAGTCTGTGTCCTTGTCCCCTTTCAGGTTGCTGAGCATGGCCTCATAAGCAGCTGTTTCCGCCATCGCCGCAATCCATTCATCAATCCCAGGGCGTACTTTAGTCTTCCAATGTCTTAATATAATCCTAGATGCTGTAACTAGTCCGACCGTAATGATGCAGAAGGTTCCTCTTGAAACATTTGGTATTTGGGATCTGTCTCCCATTAAGCATAGATCCGGGGTCTGAGGGACTTCTATGCCAGACCAAGCACCCAGGATTTCCAGGACATCAGTCCAAAAGGGTAAAACCATAGAGCATTCCCAAAAACAATGTAGATATGTCCCTATTTCACTGTTACATTTCCAACACAAATCATTTGGCATTAGTTTCATTCTATGCAACCTGGTAGGAGTATTGTAGTATCTATGCAACACCTTGTACTGTATAAATTTACTTCTAGCCTCTTTCACATATTTACCACTGTCTGATAGGATATTTAGCCATTTTTCATTTGTGTATTCTGTTTCTAAGTCCCGCTGCCAAAGTAGTTTAATGCCTAAAGACTCCCCACTTAAACCATGATTAAACAGTTTATAAAACACAGAAGCAGTGTGGCGATCACGTGGCATTTTAATATAACCTAAAATATCATTGTCAGGAACTTCCTTAAATTTAGAAGTCACACAATGTCTCAATTGGAGGTATTTCCAAAAATGTCCTTTACCTTGTAATTTGTAAGTATGGGTCAGATCCTCGTAAGACATAAAGTTTCCATCTTTATACAGATCTCCAATATTACATATACCACGTGAGTGCCACTGTCCCCAAAACACCGGTACCTTACCAATACATATAGCAGGGTTATTCCAAAGAGACGCATACTTCTGGACATAATGTGAAAGCTTCAACATTTTATGTACCTTTGACCAAACCTCACAAGAGTGAATAATAACCAGATTAGTTGTATTTATTTTTTGAGACAATTTGTGTTTTGGATCAAATGGTGAACAGATATCAAATTCAATATTTAACCATTCTTGTTTTTCTTTATCTTCCTCCCAGTATTTAACTAGTTTTGCCATTTCAAATGATAGGTAATAGAGCTTTGGGTCCAAAAGTCCCAATCCACCTTTCTCTCTGGGGGCATACAATTTTTCTGTTATTTATTTATTAATTATTTTACCCACACTCCTTTGCGTAATCTACCATCAGCAGAAAGAAAACTATTTAATATTTATGGTTGACAGAAGTTGAGACTGTGATTCTGTAGAAATCAGAAAACAGCAACATTCTGGAAGCAGTATGGTGAGTTTCTGCTGAACGTGTTGAGTCTGTTCCTACCTGAACCTTTGACGCTGTTGCACAGATTGTCTGTGAGACTGTCGACAATATCCGTCAGGAACTTGAAGTCTTGTACATTGTACATGTGGATATCATCGGGGTCAGAGGCGATGGACCTCAACTCATTCTCATCAGCATTCTTCACACCTGAGAGAAAGGTGTTTGCTCAGATGTTTGTCTGAAAACAGAATGATGATGATGCATTGACTCACCAATAGCGTAGAGCTCAATGTCGTTGTCTCTCAGATTCTGAGAGCTGGCAACAATCTCGTCCTGAGACTTCCCGTCTGTAATCAGAACACCGATCTTGCGGGAATCCGCACGCATCCCCACACTAGGATTAAAGTTGCTCTCCAGGATGAATTTCAACGCCATTCCTTTTCAACAAAAGGAAACACATGTTTATTCTGATTTAGGATCCATCAAAAAAGTCACATGACTCATGCAGTTTCCATCGGACACAAAGAAGATTTAATGTGTCAAACAAAATGTAATAAACGTCTTTGCCATCTTAAATGTGACACAATCTTCAAAATAAAATGAAAATAAAGAGGAAGTTTTGATCTTTTAGGCATTCCATCATTCCTTCAATAAATGTTATGCAACATTTTGTGAACATCAATTTATTTGCATTTATTTGTTATAAATGCCACTGTATAATTCTTGCTGTCAGTATTTGCAAGATATTGGTATTTGGGTCTGTACTGGTTAGACTTAAATGAATTAAACCAAGGTCTAGCCCTTGGGTCATAGACTATGAGCTATAAGTATATTAGTCTTTTTATACTGGGAATCAGGAGTTATTTTAGTGATCATCTTGTTTCTTATTTCTTTTTGTCCTGATTGTGCCCTGAGCAATTTTATGACTGAATAAAAACAAATAAAATCAACATTACTTGAAAAATCGTCCTAAATAATCGAGATCTCAATTTCAGTCACCATAATCGTGATTATTTTTGCCATAATCGAGCAGCCCTACCACAAAGGGTATCGTAGACTCAACAGATTGCGTGGGATGGATTTAATAAACAAATTTCTAGTTTACCAAACAGCCAAATTTATTTTATAACCCAGAATCCACAAATTCTCTCTGATACTAAAAGGTTCTGCTAAACCATCTACCGTATTTTCTGGATTATAAGCCGCTACTTTTTCCCATGCTTTGAACCATGCGGCTTATAATGAGGTGTGGCTTTAGTCAACCAGAAAGGATGGATGCTAGAAAGTCTAATGAAGGAATGGTTAAAGGAGTGCTACGAAAAGCACCCCGGAGGATTTTTTTCATAGTAAAATGGCGCTGCTTGTTTTCCCAGCTTCACCCCGGGATGATGACAGCGACACTGACATCATCACAGAAAAGGTATGTGACGAAACTCTTCTGAGGCTGTTCAACTCCGACACTGAAGAGGATGATGACTTCAGTGGTTTCAGTGCGCAGGAGGATGATGAATAAACTAAGCACTAACTTTTCTGTTTTGTTTGATACTGATCAGTTCAGTTACGTTCAGTTAAACTACATTTTCAATTCAGTAGATATCTGAGGCTTTTAGCCTGGTGCGGCTTATATTGAGGTGTGCTCTATAGTCCAGAAATTACGGTAGCTTCCATTCCAACATTCCACACCTCACATTAAATCCCTCCATATCCATTACATGACATCTCATTATTCATACCTGTCATGTATAATCATTAGTTTAGGGAAATAGAAATAAATTAATTTCATAAACTATTTTCCGACTCTGTCTGAATTAATACGAAGTGTGTTTATGGTCCCTGAATAAGTAAAGTAACTGGAATCTTCTGATTAAACATTCAAAAATCAATCAGATTGATATTTCATATTTATATAGTTATCACATCTTACTGATCATTTTTAATAACTATGTAGTCAATCATCAACGCTACAAAGATCTTATCAGTATTTAGCACCAAATCAGATAAAAAACAGATCTGATCCAAAAACTCAGAGTAAGCTGTTTATCATTATTTAGAAAAATGCCCTTATTTTGGTAAAGTTACTGGCCTGCCTCTTCTGTTTTGGTTTGATTTCCTGCTAGAATTGACGTGGCTCTCGAAAAAATAGAGCACACACCGAAACGATCGCGGCATGACGCGAGCCTTTGCAGCGCTTCGCAGCTGATGTGATCGAGGCTATATGTTAACAAGGGCGCTTCGCGGCGCTTCAGCGTCCGATGTGAACCAGGTGTTAGCCAGTAGTTTCAGGTGGGATTTAATGTTGCCCCATCTGGCCCCAGGTAAACATTTGACCATGGTTGCACGAGTCTCTCAGGACACGTTTCTGACAGTGGAGCTGCAAAGACCAGAGTCCCCTGAGCAGGCAAACTCTGTTTAATACATGGACGGGTTGGTGGTCTCCCACAGGCTGGGTTCTGGGACCATGCTTCCTACGTACCGTCACCCAGCCGGTCTGAGGTCCCAGCTGCTCAGGTTTCCTTTAATGGCAGGTGTGAACTTGAGTCGGCCAATCAGTCGGCAGTGGGTGTGTTGAACCAGATCAGTTCAAAGCAGTCCGGCTTGGGATGAGGGCGGACAAAACGACTGGTTGTGTGTGGAAAAACCCAGACAAGCCGGATGTGAACGCTTGCTACCGTGTCAGGGCGGAGTGGAGTAGACCTAGTGTGGACGCCCTCATAGAAGCAGAGAGAGGGGCTTAAGGTACGATACTTTTTTTATACCTCTAGATGGTGCCACCTGAGAAAAATACTCCAGATTTCTGCTTTAATGAGCTCATCAGTCCTCAATTCAAACATTTCCCATTTAACCCTGGATAGCCTGGTTATGGGTTAGGGTTTAGGGTTGGAGCCTTAACCCTGACATCACCTGTCATGGTGTTTCCTCCTTTATACGGCAGTTTGTTGACAGCCTGCAGCAGCGAATCCTTGGTTGTGTGGGCATTCAGGTGCCACTCTGTCCTTGGGTCTCCGCTGTACTGTGCCAGACCTACAGAAAAACAACACCACACCATCTCTGGTCTCAGATCAACTCTTCCTAAGACCAAAGAACACCTTCTGACCGAGTAAGAACCTCAACAAAATGTAACAAAGTCAAATGAAAAGAAAACCCACGGGAAGAATCAGAAGAATGAATAACTGTGAGACAAACCTGAAGCTAGTTTAATGTTTGGTGTTGTCAGACTTCCTACCGAGGAGATCAGAGCCCTATCTTAACCCACAAACACCATCCCTGTTGAGATGATGAAGCTGACTGTGTGTGAGCAGGACAACTTACCAATCTGGACCGTGTCTGGGCTGATGTCAAAGACACCAACCATGCGAGCGATGAAACTACGAATTAGTTTGAAGTTGGCACGACCAATGCTCCAGGAGCCGTCGACCAACAGCACAATGTCAGCCTTAGCTGAGGTCTTGCACTGATTGTCTACAGAAAGACAGTGGTGGACAGTGGGAGTTAGCAGTGAAATGGTTAACACCTTCAGTTACCTTAATGTGAAATAGAGAGGAGAGACAGAAGAGAAAGACAGGAAGAGGTCACTGAGACAGCAAAGTGTTTTACAGGTTATGTGGCACAACATTTTCAGGTATCATTTCCAAAAGAAGGTTTGTCTTCAAGGTTTTTGTCTCCAGCTCAATGCTCCTTTGGGTTTCAAAACGCTGTCTCACACAACTGCTGCTGCTCCAAATGGGCTCGTTCCTGCTACCGGCACCTTTAAGAGGGAAAAAGTCTGCTTGTCCTCATCTAGACGGTTCTGGACGGCTGGTGACACTCAGACAGAGGCCTGGTTCTCCCAGACTCCTGCCACAAAGTACACATTCTGGACAGAGAAGATAGATGGTTTGAGAGAGGAGTAAAGGAAGCCATCTATGTCAAACGGGCAAAATCAACTTTAAATAGGAGTTTCACCTTTCCAGCACGTATAATACAGCCCTGAACATAATTCCCAAACAGTTGAAGTCTAGGTCACACCCTCATGCATCTACTCAAGCTGTGGTAAAGCAGGGCCACTGCCCAATCACCTCTGGTCCCAAACCCAGCTCGGGGCACTGCCATTAGCCTTTGGCCTGAAGATCTGAGAGAGAGCGTCCAGCGTTGTGGATCAGTGATATAATCAGGTGACTGGCCATGTGATCTCTGAAAGTAATACGTCTGCAACAGAGCCACCTTAGATCTCAATAAGACCAGAACCGTTCAGCAGGTAAGCTAGGCTCTGTTGCTGTTTTCTGCCCTTCTGTGTTCCCGATAAACCTGGCCTTTGTAAACTGTGGTGTTCCACAGGGTCCATTATACGGGCCATGATTGTTTGCTGCCCCGACATTGTTTTGAAGAAGAAGAAACAATCTTTTAAAGAGCGCCTCTCAAGATAAAAATCAGGACTTTCACAAGAATAAAACATTTGAAACTTAAAAAGTGAATAAAAAATAACAAATCGGAAAAAGTAAGTTGTGTGGACCGACTCTTCCCTAGATTTAAAGGTGTGGTTCACTGAAAGCCCTGTTTTAGTGATTATGTCTGGTTCTAACGGGTCACTCTGAGTGTTTCATGCAGGCTGAACATGAAGATAGTCTCCTACACCTATCTCCTGCATTAGCTTCTGATAGATAATAGTCTCCTACACCTATCTCCTGCAGTAGCTTTTGATAGATAATAGTCTCCTACAACTATCTCCTGCAGTAGCTTCTGATAGATAATAGTCTCCAACACTTATCTCCTGCAGTAGCTTCTGATAGATAATAGTCTCCTACACCTATCTCCTGCAGTAGCTTTTGATAGATAATAGTCTCCTACACCTATCTCCTGCTTTAGCTTCAAATAGAAAATAGTCTCCTACACCGATCTCCTGCATTAGCTTCTGATGGAAGATAGTCTTCTACACCTCTCTCCTGCTTTAGCTTCAAATAGAAAATAGTCTCCTACACCTATCTTCTGCAGTAGCTTCTGATAGAAAATAGTCTCCAACACTTATCTCCTGCAGTAGCTTCTGATAGAAGATAGTCTCCTACACCTATCTCCTGCAGTAGCTTCTGATAGATAATAGTCTCCTACACCTATCTCCTGCAGTAGCTTTTGATAGATAAGAGTCTTCTACACCTATCTCCTGTTTTAGCTTCAAATAGAAAATAGTCTCCTACACCTATCTCCTGTAGTAGCTTCTGATAGATAATACTCTCCAACACCTATCTCCTGCTTTAGCTTCAAATAGAAAATAGTCTCCTACACCTATCTCCTGCATACCTTCTGATAGAAAACAGACGGTGAAACTCTAGGATAGAAAAGCCTGACAGATCTACGTCACACTGTCACTAACATTCATGGACACCCATCTGGGCTCATGACAGGGAAGACTGTTGTTGGTTAAGAGCAGGGGCACCTCCAGAAAATGTTGATAGGGTTGGCCAGACTGGGCCAAAGAAATTTATGGGGTGGCACATCAAATTCGTCCTCTGGGAGAGTTTAGCCTGTGGATTGCTCCTTTATTCGTGTTTATTTTAAGAAAACACTACGTATTCAAAACATTTAACTTAAATTTCAGAAACATAAACATTTCAGTTATTTAAAATGTTAGTTAAATTTTTATTTTCAAATGTGTTTTTTTATTTAGATTCACCTGTTGCTGTATTCACAAAAAACTATGGAGATAAAAGAAATAAATGTAATGGTGAGCAGCAGAAACGTGTATTTTTTTTATTCTGATTTTTTCTTTGCTCATTAATTGTATTATTTTAATTTTGTTTTACAATTATGTCTTGAATAAATAAGTCGATTTATGATTTGAGTGAACAATAATATGATGTATTAACACTGGCTTTTGCTGGGAGGAGCAACAATTTTCTAAGGGTGGCCATGACCATCCCTGGCCACCCCTTGGGGGCACCATTGGTTTAGCATCCAGAAAACAGCAGAGCATGTCTCAGCTAGTAGAAGCTAACTGTTAGCATTAGTAACTCCACCATACAGCAGAACTCCTCCAGGCTTGTGTTATTTGTGGAGATAAAACATCAACGATGCAGAGCAAACAGTCAGTGGTAGGGTTGTGTTGCTGTTAGCCAATCAGAGAAGAGATGTTCACATATCAGGAAGTAAAAGTCCACATCCTGTCTCTGAAGCGCTCCTCTAATGTACATTCTGCTAGTTCCTGAAACTGGCACATCTGAGTATTTTTCCCCAGAGTACAACTTACAAGGCATTCGTTCCCACAGTAAGCTCTTTCAGCTGTCTGTCATGAGGGAAGGGTCCGGAGATCAGTACTGCTTCACCTGCAGCGCCATGGAGAGAGGCATACCAGAGAGCAGCCCCACCCCTCCTCCATCCCCGCTGCAGTCAACACAGCTGAACAGATTCAACACAGAAGACAGCTGCCAGTCAGTCGGGGAACGCAGCCCTGTGCTGACGCTCCACGCTGCACTGAGACAGCGCTGTGGAGGTTACTTTCTATAATTGATAACCTGGTTGATTTCTTTATTAGAAGAGCTTGAGGAGCTCCAGAGGGAGGTTGGCTGAGGTGTGGCCTCAAACTTGTAGATTAGCTCAGACGAGCTTCGTTAAAAGAGCCGATAGATCATCTTAGACGGCTTTCCGTAAGTAGAAGAGCTTCCGGTTGTTCTTGATAGCTTAAAAGCTCTGTTAAACTGCTTAAAGTAGACTGGTGCTGATGCTCCATGTGAGTTCAGAGGCACTATTTAACCAGCGTTTGGGTTTTGGTAAACCAGGAGTTGGTGTGTGTATAACATCTGTTCAGTTTACGTCTGGTTTGGCTTTAGTCCCGCTAAGCTCATCAGTTGGGACACAGCTTCATGATTCTTGTCATTTATTATCATTTAGCTGGTTAAGTTACATCAGTTTAAGACCTTACTAGTAGTGGTAGTGCAGCCCGAGAGCCTGGTTCTAGTTTAATTCAGAAGAAGTCTCATAAAACATTTTCCATTTGTTAATAAAAACCTTATTTTGCACATTGCACACCCCTTATGCTGCACTGTCCTTCCACCGGGTCGTAACTCTGACTAGAGACACTCGTACCAATTACACGAGTGTTTCATGCCTTTAAATGTCCCGTTTGATTCAGTTTTCCTGATTTATTATTTTACTGCACAATATTTAATTTCACACTTCACCTCCTCCTGTGAGTGCGCCTAGGGCAGCTGTGGCTAGTGTAGCTCATCACCACCAGTGTGCTAATGACTGGTGTGTTAAGTGCCTTGGTGGGTTATAGGACTCTAGTTTTATTGCACAGCTGTTTGTGTCTGAGAACAATGAATAAGCCTCCTTGACCTGTGACTGAACAGCAGCTACTGTAGAACCACCTGGAAGATCATCTAGAATGTTCAGGGACAACTCGCTCGTTCTCACCTCAACTAAGGAGAGTTGTGTCAAACAAAATCTGGGTTTGTTTATTGGGCTGATGCAGGTCAAGGAGACGGGCCGAGTCGAGAACACTGATCATTCCAGATAAGTCAGCGTTCTGACAACATTTAGAGCTGAGAAGATCAAAACTGCACAGCGATGATAGCAAAACAGCCACCAGCTTTTACCAGAAGGATGGAGAAGAGGAGCTTCATGGTCTTCCACAAGAGTAGTCTTCTCCTCCCCTGCAAGAGGAGAACTCACACCTCCATCAAACATCCCAAAGACAGAAACGGAGTACTTTGTTCCTGCCCTGCAAAAAAAAAAGAAAAACACAGAAAATGTGTGTGTGTGTGTGTGTGTGTGTGGGGGGGGGGGGGGGGTCTGAAATAGAAATGATGCTGAGAGAATACCTCAGAGGTTTGTTTCCTCACAGATGATAGTCATTTCTAGAAAACTCTTCTTCACAACATGACATCATCAGCAGCTTACCTGAGCTCCTCCAAGACCACGGTGTTATCATATGGGCCAACCAGGAGCTCTCCCAGATCCACATCATTCCCTGTGGGGTGAAAGGACACCTTGTAGCCCCTAACATCTCCAGGTGCGTGATCCCAGGAGACCCTGAAACTGGTCTTGGTGGGTTCTGAGGTCTGCAGGTTCCTGGGAGCCTTGTAGGGTGATACTGGAATAGAAGAAACCAGCAAGAACGTCAGGACAAACATGTTCAGAGTTCATCTCCACCAAGTTCAAATCCTACAGAAGGTTCTTCATCAGCCCATAATAACCCGGGCTACTACTGTCAGGTCCATAAATATTGGGACATCGACACAATGCTAACATTTTTGGCTCTATACACCACCACAATGGATATCAAATGAAACAAACAAGATGTGCTTTAACTGCAGGCTGTCAGCTTTTATTTGAGGGTATTTACATCCTAATCAGGTGAACGGTGTAGGAATTACAACAGTTTGCATATGTGCCTCCCACTTGTTAAGGGACCAAAAGTAATGGGACAGAATAAGAACCATAAATAAATTTATACATTCCAATACTTGGTTGCAACTCCTTTGCAGTCAATTACAGACATAGACATCACCAGACGCTGAGTTTCATCCCTGGTGATGCTCTGCCAGGCCTCTACTGCAACAGTTTTCAGTTCCTGCTTGTTCCTGGGGCATTTTCCCTTCAGTTTTGTCTTCAGCAAGTGAAATGCATGCTCAAATGGATTCAGGTCAGGTGACTGACTTGGCCATTGCAAAACAGTCCACTTTTTTCCCTTCAAAAACTCTTTGGTTGCTTTTGCAGTATGCTTTGGGTCATTGTCCATCTGCACTGTGACGCGCCGTCCAATGAGTCCAAAATCTAATGAGTTCTGAGGCATTTGGCTGAATATGAGCAGATAATATTGCCCGAAACACTTCAGATTTCATCGTGCTGCTTTTGTCAGCAGTCACATCAATAAATACAAGAGAACCAGTTCCACTGGCAGCCATACATGCCCACGCCATGACACTTCAAGCACCATGCTTCACTGATGAGGTGGTATGCTTAGGATCATGAGCAGTTCCTTTCCTTCTCCATACCCTTCTCTTCCCATCACTCTGGTACAAGTTGATCTTGGTCTCATCTGCCCATAGGATGTTGTTCCAGAACTGTGAAGGGTTTTTTAGATGTTTTTTGGCAAACTCTAATCTGGCCTTCCTGTTTTTGGGGCTCACCAATGGTTTACATCTTGTGGTGAACCCTTTGTATTCACACTGATGGAGTTTTCTCTTGATTGTTGACTTTGACACAGAAAAGCCTACCTCCTGGAGAGTGTTCTTGATCTGACCAACTGTTGTGAAGGGTGTTTTCTTCACCAGGGAAAAGATTCTTCGGTCATCCACCACAGTTGTTTTCCGTGGTCTTCCGGGTCTTTTGGTGTTGCTGAGCTCACCAGTGGGTTCCTTCTTTTTGAGAATGTTACAAACTGTTGCTTTGGCCACGCCTACTGTTTTTGCTGTCTCTCTGATATGTTTCTTTTGTTTTTTCAGCCTAATGATCTTGATAGTTGACAGCAACAGATTCCAAATGCAAATAGCACACTTGAAATGAACTCTGGACCTTTGATCTGCTCATTGTAATTGGGATAATGAGGGAATAACACACACACCTGGCCATGGAACAGCTGAGAAGCCAATTGTCCCATTACTTTTGGTCCCTTAACAAGTGGGAGGCACATATGCAAACTGTTGTAATTCCTACACCGTTCACCTGATTTGGATGTAAATACCCTCAAATAAAAGCTGACAGTCTGCAGTTAAAGCACATCTTGTTAGTTTCATTTGATATCCATTGTGGTGGTGTATAGAGTCAAAAATGTTAGCATTGTGTCGATGTCCCAATATTTATGGACCTGACTGTATGTCAGAAAAATACAATAAATATCAACCAATCAAGTTTTATTTGTATAGCAATTTAAATGCAACAGTGTTGGCCAAACATTAAAACTTAATACAATAAAATGACAACAGTCGATTAAAAAACATAAAATAAGCATGAAAATCTAAATCAGACACAAAGAGTGATAAAAACAGGACCACCCTGTCAGCCCAAGTGTTAAAATCTTTGGAGTAAAAGTTAGTCTTCAGTAAACTTTTAAAAACAGCAACAGAGGAAGTCTGCCTAATGGTGACTGGTCACATATTCCAACGAGTCGGCGCCGCCACTGAGAAATACCTAAACCTCCTCTCTGTAGTCTCACCCCAGGGACATTCAGTCTAAGTTGGTTAACCGACCTCAGTCCATGAGATGGAGCATAATGCACGAGAAGCTCAGAGAGATAGACCAGTGCGAGGTCATTGAAACATTTATAAGCAAGAACCAAAATCCTAAATGGCGCACGGAGACTAATTGGGACTCGGTGCAGAAAGGCAAGAACTGGAGTGATGTGATCAAATCTGCAAGTGCCAGTCAAAAGATGGGCTGCAGCATTCTGAACTAGCTGCAACCTAAAAACACACCTTTGATTAATGCCGTGGTGAAGACTACTGCAATAGTCTAAACGAGAAGTTAATGCATGTATGAGCTTCTCCAAATTGTACTTAAGCAAAAACAAAACGTCATCTTGTAAAGGTTTCTCAGCCGAAAAGAGCATAATGAACATTACTGAGTTGTAAATCAACATTAGGCTGATAATCTACCTTAACAGCCAGGTTCGACACCACATCCTTTGAACCCTTTGAAAGGCCATTCACCAAAGACTGAGGATATCCAGGAGAGCCACTCGCCAGTATGATTAGCTCAGCCTGTACTCATCAGCCTTCGAATGAACTGTTTCTGCGTCGTCTCCACTGTAATCTGTTATGTAATTGCTCAACCTTAATTCTGTCTTCTCCTTTTAGCTCTAAATTATAATTTTATCTGTGCACATTTTAACTTGTGGTCTCATGCTTGTTGTTGAGTCATTTCATGCTAATTGTAAAGCACATTGACTTGCCCCTGTGTTTGAAATGTGCTCTATAAATAAAGCTGCTTTGCCTTGCCTTGCCTCAGTCTGACTCCTTAATCTGCAAGAAATTACAGCTCATCCAGTCCTGAACCTCACGAAGGCACAATAGAGCTATTTCCTTAATTTTAGTGGAGGCATAGACCTGACAGTCATCAGCATAAAAATGAAAGTCAAGGCCATATTTCTTTTAAAAAGCATCAACTGGGAGCAAGTCTAGATTGAAAATCATAGGGGCCGAGTACAGTCTCGAGGATAAGGTCCCTGTGGGACCCCATATTTAAGAAGAGCATCACTCGAGCTAAAACTTCCAATCCTAACCGTCACATCCCTATCTGACAGATAGGAGCTCATCTAAAGGAGTGCTGAGCCTGTGATACCAATACACTTCTGAAGACAATCTAGAAGAATTGCATAAATAAACGAGTAAATAAATAAAAAGCAGATTTTAATCAACTGTACATAAAAGTCTGGTGGGCGAAGTTTTCCCTCCGGTCACACTTTATAGCGTGACAAATGTAAATTTATTTAGATGTGATGATTCCATATAAATATGAAATATCAATTTGATCTTTGAATGTTTAATCAGAAGATTATCATTACTTTTACTTGTTCAGGGACCATAAACACACTTCGTATTAATCCAGACAGAGTTAGTATGTAGTTAAAAAGACTGGGGGATGTCATGTCCAGCAATGGTCAGTTTAGGTACGGTCTGACCTTTCACCATCTATTCAACATCTGGTCAGAAAGGAGACACAACATTGCATGTGTTCCCTTTAAATGAGCCTGCCTTCATACCAGCTGGGGCTCACAGACTCTGCAAGTCTGAAAGATAAACAATAACTTTCTTTCCCAAGGTCCCATCTGTCTGCCTCCACAGAAGACTCCAACTCCAGTGAATCAGTTGCTAAATTCAAGAATGATTTACTAAATCAATATGAACTTCTTCCATGATTTATAATCTAGATAATCATCAAATAAATATTTGTTCATAACTACTTATAATAATTATAGTATAATGAAATGCTTCATTAATCTGTGCTCACTGAATGGATGTTATGTTATGTGTCTACTAGAACCTGCCATCTGTTCAACATGTTTTGACAACAAGGTCCTCACACCTGCACTCACACAATAACAAGTATGGTTAAGTTAAACTCCAACACATAACTTGCCCTTTTAACCAGTCAGAACATCCGGTATCAAAGAAGGTGTGTTTCTGAGTTGTCTTGGTAACATCTCCCAAGCTGTCAGCCTTTGATTGGCTGTGCAAATCATAACATCAAAACCTTAAAATTGGATCATCCTGAGTGATTCGACAGTTCTAGAGAATCGCTCAGACCGGCCACCTGTAGTAAACCTCTTTAAACATCAAAGGTTTTGACACGTTGTCAAAACATTTTTGCACCTACAAAGCTGATGAGCAAAAAGTTCCTGCAGAAACAAAGCTGATATTGTTAGACTCCTTAAGAGTCTGCCAGATGCACGGTTCCATCCAGCTGTTGTGGCCTGAGACATCTTTGGACTGAAGAGTCGGTACCACGGTATTCTACAGCCCTCCGGTGCCAGAGGTCAGCCGACCCCTGTGACTTTCGGATCCACCAAGAGGGTCTCTCCAAAACGGGTGAAGTAGACATGACAGATTGCGTTTGATGTTCTTCTGATGATAACAACTTTATAGCTTAGAGCAAACCAAATTATTTTCACCAGAACTCAGCTTACTTTGATAAGGAAGCTCTGACTGACATCGCATTCACACATAGGTTCGTTCCTCACGTTTAGTTACTTCCACTCACAGTAAATGCTTAGTTAATTAGTCATGTTTTAAAGTGTTTGCAAAGTAAATTCTTACTTTTATAAACCTGACTCTTTCTTGAAGTAACACAAAGTATGGTTGATCACTGAAAAAGCAAAGAACCTAGATCTTCTGAATAATTACAATAAAGACCTAGCAGGTTAATATTTTATATTTATATAGAATATTACATCTTCCTGGTTATAACAAGTAAAATCATCAAATTTGCCTACGCTACAGGGAGATACTGGGACCCTGGGGGAGACATTTGGGGAAGCTCTGGGACACTGGGGAAGACACTGGGAGAGACTCTGGGACGTTGGGGGAGACATTGGGGGAGACTCTGGAACATTGGGGGAGACTCTGGGACACTGGGGAAGACACTTGGGGAGACTGGGACACTGTGGGAGACATTGGGGGAGACTCTGGGACATTGAGGGTGACTCTGGGACGTTGGGGGAGACTCTGGGACGTTGGGGAGACATTGAGGGAGACTCTGGGACATTGGGGGAGACATTGGGGGAGACTCTGGGATACTGGGGAAGACATTGGGGGAGACTGGGGCACTGGGGGGGAGACACAAGGGAAGATGCTGGGAGAGACCCTCAGACGCTGGTGGAGGTTCTGGGACCCTGGGGGAGACTGGAGAAGACTCCGGGACGTTGGGTGAGACATTGAGGGAGACTCTGGGAAACTGGGGAAGACACTGGGACACTGGGGGAGACATTGGGGGAGATGCTGGGAGAGACCCTCAGATGCTGGGGGAGACTCTGGGACATTGGGGGAGACTCTGGGATGTTGGGGGAAACATTGGGGGAGATTCTGGGACACTGGGGGGAGACATGGGGGGAAATGCTGGGACAGACCCTCAGACGCTGGGGGAGATTCTGGGACCCTGGGGGAGACTGGGGGAGACTCTGGGACGTTGGGGGAGACATTGGTGGAGACTCTGGGACACTGGGGAAGACACTGGGGAGACTGGGACACTGGGGGAGACATTGGGGAGATGCTGGGAGAGACCCTCAGACGCTGGGGGAGACTCTGGGAGGTTGGGGGAGACATTGGGTGAGACTCTGGGATGTTGGGGAGACATTGAGGGAGACTCTGGGGCGTTGGGGAGACATTGGGGGAGACTCTGAGACACAGGGGAAGACACTGGGGGAGACATTGGGGGAGATGCTGGGAGAGACCCTCAGACGCTGGGGGAGACTCTGGGACGCTGGGGGAGACTGGGGAGACTCTGGGATGTTGGGGGAGACATTGGGGGAGACACTGGGACACTAGGGAAGACACTAGGGGAACCCTCAGAGGCTGGGGGAGACTCTGGGACGCCGGGGAGACTCTGGACTTGTCTCTACTGTCTCCTCACAGACACATTAAAATCAGCAGCTCATGATCTCTGAACACTGACAGCTGTTATTTGTGGACGTCTCTGCAATGTGCTGTCCCTCAGAGGGCTGAATTATGGACCAACGTACGTGTGGTTCCTACTCCTTGCCTTGCTTTTCCTTCCCCACGCTTGTAGATGGGTAGAACCGTGATGCTGTAGGTAGTTAGGGGTTGCAGGCGCTTCAGGATGGTGGACGTGGCTGTCCCGCTGATCTTCAGGACCACCTCTTTGCCTCCAGCCCTGGGGACATACTTCAGCCTGTAGTTGACCACATGTCCTGGAGCTGGAGTCCATGTGACCTTCATAGTCCGCTCCGTCTCATCTGACACCGTCAGGGTTTTAGTGGCGGCAGAAGCTGGAAACACACCAGAAAACTCAGGAGGTTCAGCTGATTCACAGAGTCCCTCCTCTCTGTCCTGGTCCATTTTCTAATGTCCACATGTCCTCCTGGGGATATCGGAACTATAAATTACAAAGCTAAGCTTGTTGCTGCTGGGGTGAGCAGCTAGTGGTAAATAAAGCAAGAGGACATGGCTTCCAGGGACTGAAGGCTGCCACGTTTGTTCTAATTAAAGTTTTTCAGGACAAAGCAGCAACAGGGACACTTACCTTCTGTAGTCTCCGACCCGCTGAGGACATCGCTGTCCCTGTAGCCATAGGTAGCTACCACAAAGACTTGGTACAGTGTCTCAGGACTCAAACCCTCCAACACTGTGGACGTCATGTCTCCAGGCAGGTTTTTCTCTCCAGACTCATCCGAGAACACAGACTTCCATCTAACTTGATACGTTCTGACCTTCCCAGGAGATGCTGTCCAGGAAGCCATAAAGCTGGTGTCGGTGACGTCACTGGTGACCAGGTTGCTTGGGGAACCCACCTCTGGAACCAAAGGGTTCGTGAATGTAGAGAAACCATTTCACAATCATCTTGTTGATCATATCGGTTCAGTAAAAGGAAAACTATCTGAGTTTGTAAAAGTGTCTGCATGAAGTCTTCAGAGGGAAGTCCTGAGAGCTACTGCAGTTTAAACAGAACCAAAGGAGCAGCTCCTCATGGGGAACAACCCTCTGGAGATAGTTGAGGGGAACCAGTGGTCTCTTTGGTGCATTACAGTAGTTCCACCTCTAAGGTTCAGATTTCACTTTGAGTCAGGGTGGGGTTGGCCATTCTGGTCTGGAGCTTCAATTCACCAGGAACCTATTCCTGATGTGACATTGGGTTAGTCTGATTCTAGCAGACTAAAGGAAATGGAGCCCTAACTGCTGGGATGGGATCCAACAGGAGCCAGTGATTGGACTGTCGGGAATACTGATCCAGCCGTGGTTCCTCTCATTCCTTTGGAAAAAGCTGTTCTCCATCACATCACACTAACCTTACGTTCAGCTCCCCTGAGATGCTTCAAAATGAAACTATAAGATGATCATCTGTAATTGATTAGTTAAAAAAGTTCATCTCCTGAGCAGCTTATTGGCTTAAGTTACATTCATTCATTCATCAGGGAGTCCAGGAGCAGGTGTCTGTCAGTCCCCAGGTGAGAAGTGGGGCTACACCTGGACAGGTCCCCAGACCATCACAGTGATGCACAGTGGTGCATGCCTCGTATGGAATCCTAGATTTCACACATCAGCAGATTTCATCTGCCCCGTGTTTCAGACCGGGTTGGCACAAGGAGGAGTTTTCCATTTTAGACTCCCATGATCCGTATCTTCTGGCTATAAACGAGGCCCTGGAGACGCTTAACAGCAGCTCTTACTGCAGGAGGAGAGTTTTTACCAGCAGTAGGAGTGAGCTCACTGGTTTTACTGAGGAGCTCAGCAGATCTGGGCCAGAAGCAGACTACCTCACACTAGAACTACTCATGACTGCAACATGTAACTGCACTTCTATCTTACAGCGACTGTAGCTGTTGGGCTGCTGTGTAGATTCATCTTCATCTCCTCACGCTTAGACTACTACAGCTCTCTTTTCACGTGTCGGAGCAGAACCTCCCTGAACCGTCTACAGGTGGTTCAGAATGCCTGTGCTCGGCTTCTGACCAAGTCCTCCAAACACACCCACATCACCCTGCTTCTTTTCCAGCTTCATTGGCTGCCAGTCAACTTCAGGGTTCATTTCAAGATCCTGGTTCTGGTCTTTAGGGCCTTACATGGACAAGCACCATCTTACATTGGTGATCTTCTTAGTCCCTACACCCCCAGCAGGTCCCTGAGGTCCAGTGACCAAAGCCTACTGGTTGTGCAGTACCAGGCTAAAGGTCAAAGGTGACAGATCATCTGCTGCTGTGGCCCCCAGACTCTGGACCTCTCTCCCCCTGAGCCTGAGATCAGTGGGCTCAGTGGTCTCCTTTAAACTCACCTGTTCAGGTTTGGTGGGACGTTCATCTCCACCCTCTCCTTGTTCTGCCTTTCCCAGATCCACTGGTTTCCACTTTCCTGTTCACTTTCTCTCCCTTTCCTTACTTTTATCACAATTTTTATGTTTTTCTCATTCTAAACATATTTAATCATTTTTATAAATAATTGTAATACTTAAACTGTAGACAACAACCCGAACCTCCATCTGATGATCGTGGCTTCCTGGACCTCCAGGTGCTGCTCTGGACCAGCAACATGAAAGATCAAGTAATTTCAATCAAATAATGACCCTGACCTGGACCTGGACCTGGTCATGGGAACTACACCAGAAATCTATCTGTACACGTTAAAGATCTTGTTCTGTTTCCATGAGCAAAGAGTAGAACCAGGAGGTTCTGGAAGATTGGGTCTTCCACTGACCTTCTAGAGTTGTCGCAGAGCCGCTCACAGGTAAGCTGTCTCCTTTAGCGTACTGAGCAGAAACCTTGACTTCATATCGGGTCAGAGGGGTGAGGTGGGGGAGGAGGGCAGACAGGGTGTCCCCAGGAACAGACATGGACACGTAATGTCCATCAGAGTCATCTTCTGGCTTGAACTGGACTAAAAAAAACTCTACGTTGTCAGCATCAACCTGCCACGAAGCCCTGAAGCTTCTGGGTTGGACTTGAGAGAAGGTGAGAGCCTTTGGTTGGATCAGTTCTGTAGGAGATTAAAGAAAAGCTTTGAGTGATATGATGCAGACATTTAAACAACACATTCAGTTAAAAACCAGCTCCATCGTCATCTTCTCCATTCATCCGGAGAAGCTAAAGCAGCTCCTTAATGGTAGAGGAATTCCAGAGTTATCACTCAGAAACTCATTTACTCACCAGGAGCCTCACTTCCTTCCTAAAACTCAGCAAGCAGAAAAGTTTACTTACCCAAACTAATTACTCAACCTCTACTGCTGCTGCAGCTTCTGCTTCATAAACCACACCTATCCTAAAACGGGCTCTGGTGTTTCTGGATCCCAACCCACCTCCTACACACCCACCTTCTACCATTACTGGTCAATGCAAACTCCTTTAGAAATATTCTGTGTAACCATGGCAACAGAGAGGTCTAGGAAGCACTGAGAATGAGACACACTGGGGGGGGGGGGGGGGGGGGGCAGATGCACAGCAAAGCGTTTTTCTGCCTCCGTTACTGCAGGTGAGCTGTGAGGGTGAGTCTGAAAATAAAGGCACAGGAGCAGATGGGGCCTTGCTGGGACGATTCACATTTAAAGGAACATTTAGTCCATCATTTCTGTCAAGAGCCCAGGCCAATCCTGAGGCAGACAGGTAACGCCACCCTAAAGGTACAGTTCATTGAAAACCCTGTTTTAATGATTATCTTTGGTTCTAACGAGTCACTCTAAGTGTTTCATGCAGGCTGGACATGAAAATAGTCTTCTACACCTATCTCCTGCAGTAGCTTCTGATAGAAAACAGTCTCCTACACCCATCTTCTGCTGTAGCTTCTGATAGAAAATAGTCTCCTACGCCTATCTCCTGCAGTAGCTTCCGATAGAAGATAGTCTCCTACACCTATCTCCTGCAGTAGCTTCTGATAGAAAACAAACGGTGAAACTCTAGGATAGAAAAGCCTGACAGATCTACGTCACCCTGTCACTAACATTCATGGACTCACGCATCTGGACTCACGACGGGGAAGCTGTTGTTGGTTTAGCGTCCAGGAAACAGCAGAGCATGTCTCAGCTAGTAGAAGATAACTGTTAGCATTAGCAACTCCACCACACAGCAGAACTCCTCCAGGCTTGTGTTATTTGTGGAGGTAAAACATCAACGTTGCAGAGCAGACAGAGTCAGTGGTAGAGTTGTGTTTCTGTTAGCCAATCAGAGGAGAGATGTCCACATTTAAAGAAGTTAAACTCCAGATCCTGCCTCTGAAGCTACCTTCTCCTCCAGCTGGCTCGTACATCCTGATTCAGGAACATCTGAGGCCATAACGGCTGCAGGTGCACCGGGATTGCACGGCTGTGGTGGGTCAGCCCAATTCAACACATAGTGACCTCTCTAGGGAATCTAAATCAGCTGATCAGCCAGTTATCATCAGGCCTCTGTCTCCAAGAGCTCCTGCTCTGCTATCAGCGTATCTCAGAGCATCCACGGTGAAGCTTTGACCTCACATCAGAAATCAACTTTCATAACATCAGCTATGATCTAAGATGGTCTTTGATTGGCTGGTTTCTGATTGGTCTGACACTTGGACTCATTTTAAAAAAACAGCCAAGTTTACCTCCAGCCTGGAACTTTGGGAGTCAGAACAGACCCCATTGTTGTCAATGCACATGTTGTCCACAACACCAGGAGTCACCAACACCAGTGGTCATCAACACCAGTGGTCATCAACACCAGGGGCTCACAACACCAGTGATTCACCAACACCAGGGGTCATCACCACCAGGGGTCCACAACACCAGGGGTCACCAACACCAGAGGTCATCACCACCAGGGGTTCACAACACCAGGGGCTCACAACACCAGTGATTCACCAACACCAGGGGTGCACATCACCAGGGGTCACCAACACCAGGGGTCATCACCACCAGGGATCCATAACACCAGGGGTCACCAACACCAGAGGTCATCACCACCAGGGGTCATCAACACCAGGGGCTCACAACACCAGTGATTCACCAACACCAGAGGTCATCACCACCAGGGGTTCACAACACCAGGGGCTCACAACACCAGTGATTCACCAACACCAGGGGTGCACATCACCAGGGGTCACCAACACCAGGGGTCATCACCACCAGGGATCCATAACACCAGGGGTCACCAACACCAGAGGTCATCACCACCAGGGGTCATCAACACCAGGGGCTCACAACACCAGTGATTCACCAACACCAGGGGTGCACATCACCAGGGGTCACCAACACCAGGGGTCATCACCACCAGGGATCCATAACACCAGGGGTCACCAACACCAGAGGTCATCACCACCAGGGGTCATCAACACCAGGGGCTCACAACACCAGTGATTCACCAACACCAGGGGTCATCAACACCAGGGGCTCACAACACCAGTGATTCACCAACACCAGGGGTGCACATCACCAGGGGTCACCAACACCAGGGGTCATCACCACCAGGGATCCATAACACCAGGGGTCACCAACACCAGAGGTCATCACCACCAGGGGTTCACAACACCAGGGGTTCACAACACCAGGGGTTCACAACACCAGGGGTCACCAACACCTGGGGTCCACAACACCAGAGGTCATCACCACCAGGGGTTCACAACACCAGGGGTTCACAACACCAGGGGTCACCAACACCAGGGGTCATCAACACCTGGGATTATCAACACCTGGGGTCCACAACACCAGGGGTCATCAACTCCAGGGGTCCACAACTCCAGTCCTTGAGGGCTACCCCCCTGCACATCTGATTGAAATGAAGGAGTCGTTACCGGGCCTGTGCAGAGTTAAATAACTCTATTCAGGTGTGGCAGAGCAGGAAAGACAGAAAACTAGCAGGATGGTAGTCCTCGTGGACTGGAGTTAGTGACACCTGATCTACAATTTCCATGCACACGTTTTCCCTTCCCTGATGAGTTTTGTAACTTTTTGTACTTCAACGTACAAGTTTAGTGTTAACAAAACAAACGAGGCAACCACAGCCAACGGTTTTGTTTGAATAACTGAACTATGTGGAGTTTGTCTGGAGCTGCTGACCATGTCAGGATCAGCATAAGCTCAGGAGGTAGAGCGGGTTGCCCAACAATTAGAGGGTTGTAGGATTAATCCCACTTCGCCTGCTGGTGGTGGTCGGAGGGCTTGTGGCGCCTCTGTCAGCGTGCCCCAGGGCAGCTGTAGCTACATCATAGCTCATCACCACCAGTGTGTGAATGTGTGTGTGAATGCATGAATGTTACACTGTAGTGTAAAGCACTTTGGAGTTCTCTGACTCTGAAAGGTGCTACACATTGATCAATAACATCAGTGAAGAGAATGAGAAGAAAGGATGAGAGCAGAGGGACTCACGTCTCTGGTAGATACTGCGGAGCTCCTGCTCAATCCTCAGGCAGATGGACTGTGTGAGCTCCTTAGAGATTCTCTGGAAGGCATCAAAATCTTCTACAGTGTACACATGGGTCTCAGCAGGGGGGTTAGCAATGGCCTCAAGCTCACTCCTCACAGCGTCTTTCACACCCACTGCAAAGATCTCCACATCAGCGTTCCTCAGTTGGGCGGCAGGGTCTTTGAAAGCATCAGAAGACTTCCCATCAGTGATGAGGATGGTCACGCGGGGAACACTGGCACGTGCACCCTTGCTGGTCTGGAAGATCTTCTCTCTGACATAAGTCAAGGCCCTGCCGGTGTTGGTGGAACCACCACGATAAGGGAAGGTTCTTACGGCCTTGACCACAGTGTTCACGTCTTGATGAGTGTTCAGGTAAAACTCAGTGTAGGGGTCCCGGCTGTACTGAACGAGGGCAATCTGAACCTTTCTTGGCCCAATGACAAAGGTGTTCACCAAAACTTCAAGGAAAGCTCTGACTTTGGCAAAGTTGGTGACACCAATGCTGTAGGATCCATCAACCAGGAGAACAACATCGGCCTGCACATCCACGCCGAGGGAGCACTCTAGGTGTAAAAAGGGTTAGGGCATCATTCATAATATCAACACATTATTGAAGTTAGGGGTAAAACGTGAGACCTCACAGTTCTTAAGATCTGACTTAAGATGGCAGGAGAACGAGAAACCAAAGTTCCTTAACTGTGGAGGCATGCACCAGAGGTTTAACTTACCCACTGACACTTTGACCTGCTCCGTCTTCACCTGGACCGTGATGGGCTCACTGACCATCAGATCCCTCAGAGCAGAAACTCTGACTTGGTATTCTGTGTTGGGGGAAAGGTCTCTGACCACCACTGAGGTCTGGGTGGAGCCCACATAGATATCCTGCCTTTTGCTGCCCGTCATCAGGGGGTTCATCTCAACCCGGTATCCAGAGATGTCCCCAGAGGAGGCGTCCCATGTAACCCGCATGGACTTAGAGGCCACCTCTAAGACTCTGAGGCTAGATGCCGGATCAACAACTGCAAAAACACCAAGATGTGTTTGAGATTTGATGCTGATGCTCGACATCTAAGCAGCTGGACGTGTTGTTGTCAGAAACAGGGTGAGTCCAGCTGCCTGGATTAAAAAACTCTGGGGACGTAGAAGAAAATGTGCCTCGTTCTTTCTCTGGACCAGTTCTGGTTGGTTCTAACAACCACGTCAGCAACATCACAGAGCTGAAGTTCTGGGATGTTCTGACATCAAAGTTTGGGTCTGGTTAAAGTCGCTGAAAGTTTTTCTACTGAATAAAGTGATAGCTGAAAGTTACTATGGTAACTAGGTCATTATTTGATACTGATTACTGTAAATTAGAAGGTTGTTGCCAGTTAGGTTTAGGATCTTAACATCAAATAATAACAAGAATAATCTGAGGAGACCACCCATCCCCGCTCAGGCTGCTTTAGACCTCTCGACAGTTACTATTCACATCTGGGAAAAAGTGCACATGCACGGGGGGGGGGGGGGGGGGGGGGGGGGGGCAGAAGGCTCGTCTGCAGCTGCTATCCAGAGGTGTGATGTTTAACCCTGACCCAAAAAGAACGGAGGGGTTTAGAGCTTACCATTTTAGATCATCTATCTTTGTGTAGATGGTCAAAATGCCAAAGCTCAAAGCTAACAGTGCTTAGCTCAAAGCTAACAGTGCTTAGCTCAAAGCTAACAGTGCTTAGTTTACTTGTTCTGTGTGACATGAAGCGGTACGAGTGATAATGCTGCTGGGATTCATAATTGTATCTTCAGCAGCAGCACCGCAGGTGCTCTCCATGTCCAAAATATGCATAAGCCAGGTCCTTAGTCAGCTTAAAATTGCGCACATTTTTCCGCTACGTTTTCTGTTATAAATCACACAGTTTGAGTGGAAAGTTGCTTACGCAGTTTTCCGACCCCGTTTTGTGTGTAAGCAAGCTTGATAAATGAGGCCCCTGCTCTCATCTGCGTTGAGCTGGTTAGCGTTGAAGGACCGCCATGACACGATTCATCTTTGGAGATGAACAGATGCTGCATTTATTCTGACAAGCTCAGTAAACACAAAGCCAAAGACATTAGAGGCTGCATGCTCCAATTACACAACACATTTGCATAATTATGTAAAAACTAGTTGTTCGTGTCTTGAGATGTGGGGCAGATACTTGATGTTCCTGTTCTTTCATCTACTTGTGCAGCCTACAGCGCTGCGTGTGTTAACCATGCTGAGAGACTTTATTTCACTGCTACTTAGGTCACATTTCTGACAACTGACAGACAGTAATGGTGGTCAACGGAGGAGGAACATCATCTTGCCCTCCAGCCAGAAGCTGAGGGAGGGGTTTGGGCATCACGTGTCATGAGGTCTATAAGCTCAGAAGCTCCAACATTCGGGAGGGGCTCAGAGTAGAGCTGCTGCAGGTGAGAGGCGGTTCTGATTAAAAGCAGCTGGTGTTTAATCTTAAGTGGTTTATGTTGGTAAACGGGGACTCCTTATTGAGTCTTTATAAACAGTTGCATCGTATCAGCAGTCGTTTTAAAGGAGTCACATTTACACTTGTATCCAAGTAGATTTTTCAGGTAACTTTACTTTGACTTGAGTAAATCCTCACCAGAGTACTTTTAGATGTGCTTGTTGGTAGTAAAGTAACAATGTTTCTGATGTCAGTAAAGCCTTTTTAAGAAAAGGAGGGAATAGAAAATAAACCCATTTAATCATAGAAGTTTGTTTATGGTGGATCTCACCTTCTTCTTTGCTGACTAGAGAACTGAGCTGTTCCTCCACACCTGAGCACACCTGAGTAATCAGCTGGCTCTGCAAGCTCTTTATCAGCTCAAACCTGGACACATTATAGACGTGGTTGGTGTACGGCGTGGAGGCGTATGACATCATCTCTGCTGGGTTGGCATGTTGGACACCTGAAACATGGCAAGAACAAGGTTAATCTGTCCCCTCCAGGCCAGCAGCTTAAATCAGATCATTTATTTGTTGTGTTTGTTGTTTAGTCTGCTTCAGCTCAAGCTCAGAGGTCTCCAACCCTGGAAAGCCAAGATTAAACGCCTGTGAAAATAATATTTTTCTTCCATTAAATAAATCTGACGTTTAGCAGAAGCTGTTCTTCAGAAAAAAGCTGCAGAAGAAGCAGGATTTGTCTCAAAGCTTGACATTTTCTAAATGATCTGCTTAGTGATGACAAAGCAGCTTGTAGATGTATTCATGGATTTGACTGGTTGGAACATTTCAGTTCAAAATATTGATGATTCTTCCAGTGTTGTTATGTGTTTCTGTTTGTTGTTGTTGTGTTTCTGTTAGTTGTTGTAGTGTTTCTGTTTGTTGATGTTGTTGTGTTTCTGTTAGTTGTTGTTATTGTTGTTGTGTTTCTGTTAGTTGTTGTTATTGTTGTTGTGTTTCTGTTTGTTGCTGTTATTGTTGTTGTTGTGTTTCTGTTTGTTGTTGTTGTTGTGTTTCTGTTTGTTGTCGTTGTTGTAGTGTTTCTGTTTGTTGTTGTTATAGTTGTTATTGTGTCTCTGTTTGTTGTTGCTTTGTTTCTGTTTTTTGTTGTTTTGTTTCTGTTGTTTGTTGTTGTGTTTCTGTTTTTTGTTGTTGTGTTTCTGTTTGTTGTTGTATTTCTGTTTGTTGTTGTTGTGCTTCTGTTTGTTGTTGTTATTGTTGTTGTAGTGTTTCTGGCCAGCAGATTAAATCAGATTGTTGTTGTGTTTCTGTTTGTTGTTGTTATTGTTGTTGTTGTGTTTCTGTTTGTTGTTGTTGTGTTTCCGTTTGTTGTTGTTATGGTTGTTGTTGTGTTTCAGTTTGTTGTTGTTGTGCTTCTGTTTGTTGCTGTTATTGTTGTGCTTCTGTTTGTTGTTGTTATTTTAGTTGTTGCTGTGTTTCTGTTTGTTGTTGTTTTTGCTTCTGTTTGTTGTTGTTATTGTTGTGTTTCTGTTTGTTTTTGTAATTGTTGTGCTTCTGTTTGTTGTTGTTATTGTTGTGTTTCAGTTTGTTGTTATTGTTGTTGTGTTCTGTTTGTTGTTTTTGTTGTTGTTGTGTTTTCTGGTTGTTTATGTGTTCCTGTTTGTCATTGTTATTCTTGTTGTTGTGTTTCTGTTTGTTGTTGTAGTTGTGTTTCTGGTTGTTGTTGTTGTTGTGTTTCTGTTTATTGTTGTTGTGTTTCTGTTTGTTGTTGTTGTTATTGTTGTAGTTGTGTTTTTGTTTGTTATTGTCACTGACATTGTTGTGTTTCTGTTTGTTGTTATTATTGTGTTTCTATTTGTTGTTGTTATTGTTGTTGTGTTTCAGATTGTTGCTGCTATAGTTGTTGTGTTTCTCTTTTGTTGTTGTTAAATTTCTGTTTGCTGTTGTTGTTGTTTTGTTTCAGTTTGTTATTGTTGTTGTTGTTGTTGCTGTTGTTGTTGTTGTGTGTCTGGCCAGCAGATTAAATCAGATTGTTGTTGTGTTTCTGTTTGTTGTTGTTATTGTTGTGTTTCAGTTTGTTGCTGTGTTTCGGTTTGTTGTTGCTGTTGTTGTTGTTGTGTTTTCTGGTTGTTGTTGTGTTTCTGTTTTTTTGTTGTTGTTGTTGTGGTTCTGTTTGTATTTGTGTTTCTGTTTGTTGTTGTTTTTGTTGTTGTTGTTACCTGTGTCTGCTGTTGAACCCAGAGCAAAGGGGTGCTATTCTCCAGAATGTAAACCTAACTCTAACCTGGTCTTATTTGCTTGTCCTGCTGATGATATGAAAATGGAACGTTCCATTTTCACATCATCTCAAACAGCAGCTGTCTGGACCATTCATAAGGATGTGTGGGAGCCAATAAAGCAGTTTTGGCTACGCACCAAGGACAAAGATCTCCACCCCCGCACTCCTCAGCTGCAGGGCAGAACTCTCCAGCACATCATCAGATCTACCGTCTGTGATGATCAGCAGCACTTTTGGAAACCCTTTCCTGGCTCCGGCAGCCTCGGTCAGCGTGTGAGTCAGGATGTAGTTGAGGGCGTCGCCTAAACCAGAGGATCACAGGTTTCAGTGCAGAGTCAGACAAGTCACACTTTGGGTTTGTTGATGACTTAAAGGTGTGGAACACTTGTTTAACCCTTTGATGCATGAATTATGAAATCTTCAACCGTGATTTTTTTAAACTTTTTTTTCATTCATCTTTAGGTGTGAATGAAACAAATTTCAACAAATTTTTTTGTAACATTTTGTTAATTTACAAATAATTTATTACATGTCCATCTCAGTGGACAGCGTGCATTCTGAACATGAAATTTGTTGGCTTGACTTACTGAAGTCCAAATGGAGGGGCTCACATGCAATAAAGTCTTCAACAGCTGTGCTTCATAGCAAAAATAAATAAATAACAATTTTGAGTACCTGTCCACTGTAGTGACCATAATGCATCAAAGGGTTAAGTGTAATTTTTTGTGCTCAAACACCAGAAACGTTTGAAAAGTAAAAGGTAATATGAGGGTCAATCCATATAACTGCAGTAGTCTCTAGTAAGAATGAATACCTTGTAAATTGTACTCTGGGGAAACAAATCACAGGTGCACCATTTTCAGGAACTTGACGTGAGCCAGATCATGCTAAGGAACCTCACCTTGATGCCTTGGTCCTGCCCCAGTGGCCTAGGAGATTCGTCATCAGAAACCACCAAGGCGTGTTCCAATGTTCATGTTCTACCAAGATGTCTGTTTTCCGTTTGTTAGCCGTTTAGCTAGCTGAGCACGGATACATGGGAGGTGTCTTGTAGCCTAGCCTTGGTCAAAAATTTCCCAGAATGCAGCGGGTATTTTCTAAAGGATGGCAGATCAGAAGCCAGCAGCTACTGTGGGGGCAAATTTCAAGTTTAAATGTAAGTAAATAATTATCAGCTTTCTTTTGCAACCAAAAATTGTCGATAAAGGAGCCGGTAACACCATAAAAAATCTACTAAATGGCGAGGCTGGGCCGAGAGCTGAAAACCTAGGCTGCCATCTTGTCCAGCAGATCACGTGACTTCTCGCACAGCAAAATTTGTTTGTCAGATGGGTGCATGGTTTCTCTCGTTTTAGGAGCTGTAACAGTCATGCCCTTGGGGCTAAGCCCCCCCATCTCTCAATCCTAGTGATGTCCCTGCCCTGGTTCATGGAACGGACTAAAGTTTAGCAAGAACTTCTACAGGCTGACAGCAGAACTATATTATAAGTTCTCTTTGACTGTCCCAAGCTCCTCCGTGCCATCCCTAACAGCTGCTTATTAGCAGCTATTAGCTCGTCTCTCCCATATTCCAGTCATAATGAACAAAGCTCCTCAGATGAGAAGAGAAACATCTTCAAGAAACCAAATGAGTCCAGATGACTGAGAACATTCACCAGAATACGTTAAGTGACTGTGTGACGTAGATCTGTCAGACTTTTCTAATCCTAGAGCTTCACCGTCTGTTTTCTGTCAGAAGCTACTGCAGGAGATAGGTGTAGGAGACTATCTTCTATCAGAAGCTACTGCAGGAGATAGGCGTAGGAGACTATATCTATCAGAAGCAACTGCAGGAGATAGGTGTAGGAGACTATCTTCATGTTCAGCCTGCATGAAACGCTCAGAGTGACCCATTAGAACCAGACATAAGCATTAAAACATGGTTTTAGTGTTCCACACCTTTACCAAACAACAAGACCCATAAAAAAACAAAACTTTTCATTATCATAATTAAAAGTGTTTCATTTGTCTAAAACTAGTTTATTGGTAATCTCTTAGTACTGCAACTAACCGGCCCTCTCGATCATGTCCCAGAATCCTGTGCGACTCTAGGACTTGATGCTGGACCAGCAGATGTCTCACATCTATGGGACAGTTGGACCAGATGACTTTCTCCTATCTTTGATACAACATTAATACAGTTTTATTTTGTCTCCATGTTCATTTCAAACGTTCTGTTGATAAAATGAATAAAGCAAAGGTTTGTGGTCTGTTCAGTGTTTGGTGTAGTCAGTAAAAGCGTTAACCTCAACACTGTACCTGTGCGGCGGCTGCCTCCTCTGTAGGGCAGTGAGCCAATGGCTTTCAGCAGAAGCGATCGGGTCGGGTGCTGATTCAGGCTGAACTCGGTCTGGACGTCTGGGCTGAACTGGACCACAGCCACAAGGGTTCTGTCCACACCAATCTGAAAAGCTCCAGCAGCCGCAGACATGAAGTTCCGGATGAATTTGAAATTGGGTCTGCTCCAAGAACCATCGATCAGAAACACCACATCAGCTGCAGCAGTCGAAGGGCATCCTGGGAAAAGTCAACACTGTCAGCCATTCAGCTGGACCGGGCCCAGTGGGGTTCTGCCCCCCCCACACACACACAGATGACCCCTAGAGGTTCAGAGGTACACACACACACACACACACACACACACACACAAACACACACACACACACACACACAATCTTTCTCTCTCTCTCTCTCTCTCTCTCACTCACATACACACAAGTACACACACGCGCACGCACAAGTACACAAACACACACACACTCTCTCGCTCACTCTCACACACAAGTACACACTCACACACACACACACATAAACAAACGTACACTCTCTCTCTCTCTCTCTCTGTCACACACACACACACTCACACACACTCTCTCTCTCTCTCTCTCTCGCTCGCTCACTCACACAGACACACTCTCTCTCTCTCTCTCATACACACACACACACACACACACACATACACAAACGCACACACACACTCTCACTCACTCACACACACACACACACACAAGTACACACTCACACACACACACACTCTCTCTCTCTCTCTCGCTCTCTCACTGACACACACACTCTGACGCTGACACTCTCTCTCTCTCTCATACACACACACACACACACACAAATGCACACACACACCCTCGCTCTCTTTCACTCACACACACTCACACTCACTCTCTCACACACACACACACACACACACACACACACACACACACACACACACACTGAAAACAAAGTTAGACCAGATAAGGTGAAATATTGTCTGATTGGTTCTGAGCTGTGATGTAAACAGGAAGCAGCAGCAGCTTCAGGAGGAGGACTTACTGACGGACTCTGGAGGACCTGGTTTCCTGGGGCCTCCTCTTGAGCTTCTCGACTCAACTGGAGGTCAAAAGTTAAACAAATGAACATTAAATGGTTTAATTATTAATAATCAAGTGTTTTCAGCAGAATGTTGTTAATAGGATCTGCTAACGTTAAAGTGCCATAATTTGTCACACACTGGTGGAAGTACACCTCCACATGTGACCCATCCCTGTGCAGCAGAGGCTGTGTTCAGGAGCTATCTGCTGGTTTTGCGCTGTTTCCCGAAGAAGCAGCGGGAACTACTATGTTGTCGCTTGTGATCACAGCCGGCGGGCAGCAAGGAGGAGCAGGCAGGGCAAGGTGAAGTTACAGCATAAGTTACTGAGTTTAAAATTAGAAAGGTAGCAGTGGATATAATGCTTTATGGTTTACATGTTTCAATAGCATTAAGATAAACGAGTGTTGACGATCTTGCCAGGGTTTCCTCCAGTGCTTATTAGGCCAGGTTTCCTCCCCCCACCAGGCTAAGCATCACTTATTCATGTAAAATTTATTTATTTTTTCGTGTCTGACTTTAACCGCATCTAATACTGTATTACGGCGTGAGCGCAACAGCGACAACTTAAGATCGATGTGTGAGCAGCGTGAGAGGTCGGGTGTTTCATCTGAACCCTTAAAACCTCCAGCAGGCTACGTTGCACTGTTGACGTGTTAGCGCGCGGCGCTAACAACTTAGCGACGTGACATGTCTCGGAGAAAGCGTAAAAACACGTTGGACGCTTCTTCTGAAGCGGGAAAATAACGCCTCTTCTTAAGCAGAGCACGGCGTCGCCTCGGCTCGTTCACGGCCGAGCCAGACTGAGCTCGATAACATTGACCCAGCACAGCCACTAGGTCGTTGGAGCTGCCCCGTGACTGCCTGATGGAAAACCAGCGGGTTTCATCAGACTCGTAAAGTTTCTTGTTTTTGCTGTGGACCCCCTGTATTTTACCGCTCCCTCCTGCAGTCTTCCCCTCTTAAAATTTAAAATGATTCTGTAAATTCCGTGTATCAATAGAAAAAATCTCTGCCTCTGCTAGCTGCAGTAAATGTAGTCTCCAAATAATAAATAAGAGGTGCATTCATCTGTGTATCTCCTTCGAACCACATTAGTGATATTCTCAGCACCAGAACAGTGAAGCAAAGAAACAGATTCCTGAGTTTGTTAGTAATTTTGTTTATTAGGTGCATTTAACCTGTTCTACTTTTCTCTGAAATTAGATCAAATCAGTGCTTCTATGGGTTGTCCCCTCTCTGCACTGGAAATTTTTACTTTATTTATAGACGTGTCATAATTTCTCCCCAAGCCCCCCACCCCCGCCGCCACAGCTGGAAAAATTCTTAGGGGAAACACTGGAGAGAGAGAGAGAGAGAGAGAGAGAGAGAGAGAGAGAGAGAGAGAGAGAGAGAGAGAGAGAGAGAGAGAGAGAGAGAGAGAGAGAGAGAGAGAGAGAATAGTACAGAGGGAAATGGGTGGATCCTGGGAACGGTGGACCATGACTAGTCCATGTGAGGTCCTGAAGACCAGAACCAGGATCATGATTGGAACAACCTGAAGGCTTTGATCACTTTACCTTTAAAATAAATGTTTTCTTGGTTATTCTGTTGATTTTATAAATGAAAAACATCAATCATCGGTGGCTCTGGCTTTATAGTTTCTGTGGAAATAAAGTTTCTGACATCAAGGACCAAATCAGCGTCCATGAAGCCAGATTAAAGTAGGAGCTGTGAGGAACACCTCCCGACCTCAGCTGAAGGACATCTGTGATTGGTTAAACAGCTGCAGGAACACCTGCTGTGTGTCTGGCGAGAGTTTCCACGTGGTCTCAGTAACGGAGACGGTGACTCACGCGTGATCTGGCCAGAGGCGGGTAGACTCTCCGCTGATCCGGCAAACGCCACCACGGTGACAACATAGTCCACATCTGGGCTCAGGTCTGGGATGGAGAGCTCAGTTACAGTCGGAGCCACAGAAAACTCTCGGGGTTCTTCTCCTGCAAGAATGCGTGAATTCAGAAGGAAGCCATGATGTCACCTGAAGTTGGAGGACGGCTGACCTCACGACTGGAATAGCTGCATAAACACTTTAATGAAAACTTTCCACCATAAACCTTTAATAAACGCTGAAAGCTGCAGAAAATCTCTGACCATTATTCTCTCCAGCATCTGAGTTCTGCTTTAGAAGAATGTAAACAACGAGAGTAAACAACAGGGTCTCGCTGCAGCAGAACGTTACTTCAACACGTTCATCAGACATGAGAAAATAGTTACAAGTCCTTTCTTTTAACCTTAACCCCCCCCCCCCCCCACACACACACACACACACACACACACACACACACACACACACACACACACACACACAGATGGTGATAAACTACCACCGGTCCCTCTGACCACCACCAGCACTCAACATGAGTAAGTGTCTTGCCCAAGGACACAACTGCAACAGACTGGGCTGGAACCTGCAGCCCTCTGGTTAGGGGGCGGGGTCTTAACTCCTGCGCCACCGTCGCCCTATAATAACGATACGACACTCCTGAGCTACAGCCGTAAATCCGCTGGCATCTTCACCCAGTCACATTCCTTCTCCTTGTAGCGTCAAAATTCCCAGAATTCAACGCATGCAGGTGGAAACTTGTCTGCAGAGGGAAGTTCGTGTTGCACATCATGCAGGTGACACAAGCACCCACCTGAGGCGGAGGCCACCTGGATCCTGTAGCCTTCCGTCCGTGACCGCGATCTGCTCCACGTCATTTTTACTGAATTCTCATTTAGAATTTGAAACTTCAGATCTGCTGGTGGGTCGACTGTGGAGAGAGAAGCATGGTCAGCGTTAACGGTCAGCTTTTAGGAGGGCTTGTATGTGATGCTCAGACCCAACAGTCCACACTTCCAGGAGGAAGTCAGAGACGAGCCGACTGTTGGAGCAGAAGGGGCCACACACAACGCTCATGAGGCTGACGTCACAAACAACAACAACGGGAAGGAAAATAAACATCTGAAATTTGGATACACTCCATTTTTCCAGAGGAATGACTGAAATCAAAGAAGCCAAAATGGAGCAAGGAGGATCCACCAAGAAGGCTTTTCTGGTCTCCACTGCTAAACCTGGTAAAGGAGTGCACGAGTACACTGGTGCATCCTTTGTGTTCAGGGTTCTTCAGAGCTGGGTGAACATGCACGTGTACGTGGAAAGTTGTTTCCAACAACTTGGAGCAGCAGACACACACACACACACGTGTCCACGTACACACGGGCCCACAAGGGGGCTGAAATATTTTACACTGATGTTCTTCTGGTTGGGGTTTTCTCAGAGCCTGTCTGGCTAGAGGTCCGCTTCTACAGGACCAGTCTGCTGGGTCAGGTCGTCTCTTCCTTCTACCTTCTCTAGACTGCCGTTGGTTCTCCTCACAGCTCCGTAGTGGTTCCCAATGCTAGGCTCGGGGCCCCACAGCGGGTCACCAAGAGCTCTACAGGGGCCCTGAGATGAATCAAAATAAAACTGAAGCTATTATATAGCATGATTGTTAGAACAGCTAAAGAAAAATCCTAAATGTTTCTGAGAGAACACGGTCCAACCCCAGTCCTGTTGGCTACATCACACATTTCTGGGCTACTTGGTTTGGGAACCACAGATCCGCAGCAGGAAGAGCACAGGATCATCTAGCTAACGGAGCGGACTAGACCACCAACCAGTAGGACCGAAGAGCATCAGTAGAAAATATTGTTGTGAAGCCGAGACTCGAGGTCCGGAGACCCAGTCAGGCTTGACCCAGACGATCACAGGACAGTAAAAACGAAGGAGCCACCAACCTGGTGAATCCAAGTCCTGCAGGAGACGGTTCTGACGCTGGCCTGTGGACCCCACCCCTTTTAACCCTTGACCAAACTGCTTTTATTACCTGTCCTTTCATCTTTCTAAGCTTTGGGTCCCCCACCTCCCCGCCTCCCCCAGAAGGTCATAAATTCTTCTGGGGGGAGAGAGAAAGTCTTCTACCGCGCTTTTCTGGGTTTCCTGTTTGTTCTTTCGCACAAACTTCACACAGCAACAGTCAAACTTCTGGGAAATGTGGGAAAGCCAGACTTTAATTTTCCATCTCGTCAGGAAAAAGAGCAGGAGCGCCTCCTGCTGCTGAAAGGGCGTAACTGCGGCCAGCTCGGATTAAAGTTCCTCTAAAACCAACTAGATGTGATTTCTTTCGAAGCCAAAGTGAAAACAGACTTGACAAATCCTAAAACTAGAGGAAAGAGAAGACCCTGCCACGTGACTTTCTTTTGTGCTCAGGAGTTGCTGACGTCACTGCTCCAACGGGCTTAGGCTGATTTAGAGACAACATCTGGTTGGAAAAGCGCTTCAGTCCATAAATCTACAGCAGGCTGTTTTTCTGATGAAGAAATCTGGAAAAAGTCGAAGGCTGGAAGGAAAAACCAGTTCAGTCACACGTTTCTTTGTCACGTTTTTATTCAAACAAAATCACTTTTACATTTTGGAGCAAAGAGGTTGAGATGAAATGGAAGACAGATGTGAAGGATTAAGGAGGTGAGGAGGAGGAGAAGGGGGAGCTTTACCTTGTTCCTGGGCCTGAGAGGAGGACAGCAGCAGCGCCAGGAGGACCACAGCTGCCAGAGACAGTCTGATCTTCATCTTCAGCTCCTCTGCTTCAGCAGAACATTCATGAAAACTGAGAGAAAACGGGTGGATTTGATCAGACGTGGTGGTACCACGGTGGAACGGAGCCATGCCGAATCTAGCAGGACTAAAAACACATCAGAACAGCAGATGTCCGCAGAACTCAAGCGGTCCAGCCTAGTGGAGAACATCTCATCACACATTATACCACAAGGCTTAGTTCTTATCTTTATCTGATTAATTATACCTAAGAGTTCACTTTGGCACCGTGCGCAATTACGCACCGCGGTGCCCATAGTCACCGCGTTCAGCGAATCCAAACTAATGTCACAGAAAGCAAACAGAATCAAATAACAGTCAACAAATCTAGCAAAAAACATTCTCTTCACCTGAGATTCCCCAGAGACACAGGATCAGGATCAGGATCGGGATCGGGACTGACCTGCAGATGGAAATGTTGGATGGTTTAGATCTGTTAAAAAATAGCGAGAAAAGGGAGGGTTGGTGGTTCTGGACGCGTCGGCGATCCTTCTCCGAGTGAGCCGAGTCTCCAGACGATCTGCTTCTTAACGGGAGGGCAGCTCCCAGGTCGGCCAGCCCCGCAAACAGCGCTGACGACATCCAGCCGTTCCACCCTGACTTCTGGAAAGGGTTGGCAGCCTCTCTCTCACTAGGAAACTTTTACATAGATTGGCGCATTCCTTTCCGCTGATGGAGAGCTCCTGTGCGCCTCGGCTGCGTGACAGCGGCGCAAAGGCGGCTATTGGGGGAGGGCTGGGGAGGGGGCGCAGAAAGGTCAGTAAACCAAAAATGACCTTTCACCTGGAGGGCAGCCTAATGTCGCCATTAATCACGTAAAATAATCCGAGCCTCCAGGCTGCGGAGAACCTTCATCAGCTGCCGAAGACGTCAGTCCCGATCTGTTCTGCCAATCAGGCATCTAAGCATGCGGGTTCAGGTCCAGATGTTCCTGTTCCCAGCCAGAACCGACCCGAACCAGGCCTCGGGCCTAAACCATAGACATGAATACGTAGATGCTCCACTGGGTGCTGGAGAGCGTAACAGCATCGCTGCCATAATGGGTGGGTCTCCTCACTCAAAACCCAACTGGAGTAATGCAGAGTGACTCATATACGTACACAGCCTACAGCAGAGCTATTCCATCCTGGTCCTGGAGGGCCGGTGTTGTACCTAACCCTAACCCGCTGCCCAACCCTAATCCTAACCCTAAAACAAACATAAAAGCAGTGTTACGTACCCCAGGCCTACAGCTGCTACACCCAGCGCACCATTATGACTTCTTTTCTACACTCACTGAGTGGGACTCGTTTTCATGGTTCAATTGAAATCAAGTTTTTTATGAAGCTCCAAATCAGGACCAGAGTCGTCTCAAGGACCTTCACACAGTAAGCATTCCAATACAGGTCAGGTCATTGATCAGCTGTTCTCTGGAGCACAGACCATTGGACTGGTGCTGAAGTGACCGCACACCATCTTGGATGGGTCTCCATTAACCCCCATTTACTTCTACTGTGGAAGGTGCCTACCCAACTAGAGAACACATTTTATTATTCTTTTCCACAAAATCAGACATATGGTGTGGCACCTTATCCATATTGGGCGAAGGTGAGGAGGGTGACTGTGGCACAGTAGTTCAGAGTTCATTTAAACGTATTTTGTACGTTCATTCTGTACATTTCATCTAACTGTGTTACTTGGTTCTAAATATCAGCAAAAACAAGGTAAAACAACTATTTTGTTGTGTCAAAAAAATAACCAAGTAATGCATTCTACCTTTTTCCGACTCAAGATCATGGTCTCCGATTTAGAGGAACTGATTTTCATTCCAGCAGCTTCACACTTGGCTGCGAATCACTCTAGTGAGAGCTGGAGATCACGTTCTGATGAAGTCTTCAGGACCACATCATCTGCAAAAAAAAAAAAAAAGAGAGACTCCAACTCTCGCGAGAAATGAGCCCGACTTACTGCCGGCAATGCAGACCAATTCAATTCAAGTTTATTTATATAGCGCCAAATCATGACAAGAGTCGTCTCAAGGCACTTCACATAATAAACATTCCAATTCAGGTCAGTTCATTAAGCCAATCAGAAATAATGTTTCCTATTTAAGGAACCCAGCAAATTGCATCAAGTCACTGACTAGTGACAGTGACTATACAGCAATCCTCATACTAAGCAAGCATAAAGCGACAGTGGAGAGGAAAACTCCCTTGGTATGGGATACCCACTACCAAGCTCTAATACCAGTCATACAGAAACCCACACAGCCCATATCAGTCCTGGTACCCCATACTCCCGAAGTACCCCCCAAAGGGCCTCACAAGGGACGAGTTGAACGCATTCTCCAAATCCACAAAACACACGTAGATTGGTTGGGCGAGCTCCCACACACCCTCCAGGACCCTCTAAGGGTGTAGAGCTGGTCCAGTGTTCCAAGATAGGATGAAAACCACATAGTTCCTCCTGAATCCGAGGTTAGACAATCCATTGGACTCTCCTCTTCATAATCCCTGATAAGACCTTACCAGGAAGGCTCAGGAGTGTGGTCGCCCATTAGTTGGAACACATCCTGCAGTCCCTCTTTTTAAATAAGGAGACCACCAGTACAGTGGAACTGCCCCCCGATGTCCACACAATATTGCAGAGCCGTGTCAGCCAACATAACCCTACAACATCCAGAGCCTTAAGGTACTTGGGCGGATCTCTTTCACCTCCAGAGCCTTGCACTGAGAAGCTTTTTGTCCACCTCAGTGACCTCAGCATCAGAGATTGGAGAGCCCAACCCAAAGTCCCCAGGCTCCGCTTCCTCACTGGCCACCAATCATGTGAGACAACAAAGTAGATCATCGAGCTACAGCCTAAGGTATCCATCCTGGTGCGAAGAGCACGTATGGACACCTTCATGTCTGAACATGGTGTTGGTTATGGACAATCCATGACGAGCACAGAAGTCCAATAACTAAACACCGCTCTGATTCAGCTCAGAGGGCCGTTCCTCCCCACCACACCTCTCCAGGTCTCACTGTTGTTGCCCACGTGGGCGTTAAAGTCCCCCAGCAGAACGAGGGAGTCACCAGAAGGAGCGCTCCCCAGCAACTCCTCCAAGACCTCCAGAAAGGGTGGGTAGTTTAAGCTGCAGTTTGGTGCATGAGCATGTACCACAGTAAGAGGACCCGTCCCCCAATTCAATTCAGTTCTGTTTATTTATATAATGCCAAATCATGACAAGAGTAGTCTCAAGGCACTTCACGACATAACCATTCTAATAGAGTTCAGTTCTTTAAAGAGCAAGTCGCATCAAAATCTACCTTTTTTGCTGATAATTGGACAAATGAGCATCTAATACTGTTGTGGACATGTTTAGTCATAATTTTAGCATTTTGATGCATTTTCTTTAAAAACTCAAAATTCTTCTTTTGTAACATTCATTCTGTTTTTCTTCTGAATGCATTTTAATGTTATTTATTTATTTTTTAATAACAGTAAAGGTTTTTTTTTACCTTGCTGACAATTTCAATCACTCATGCGATCTTCATCAGAGCTAGCCACTAACAGCGGCGTCACTTCCTTTGTTTATCTGCGGGCAGCAGAGGACGGTGCCATGCTCTGCTATATATAATAGACTGGGACAACACAAGGGTCATAACCACCAAACAGCAGAAACATAAAAATGGATTAAGGAAGCCAAAGAAACATGTAGACGTGGGCGTGGAACCATGAACAGAGGCGAGGGAGTCTACACATTTGATCGTTCATAGAACTGTGTCATCGGTGAAGAGAACGTAGACCACAGAGGGCGACACCGTCCTCTGCTGCCTACTGATAAATAGAGAAGGAAGTGATGCCACCATTAGCGGCTAGCTCTGATGAAGGAGTCTAGCACCCGCTTCAGCTCTAAACTATAGAACACACTTATTTTGAGCTGGTTTGAATCAATGTTAGCCTATGGCTGAACCTGTACAGTCCAACGTAGCCTGGTACAGTACTACGTATCAGTGCTGTGGCTGTAGGTTATTAAAGCATTGCAGTCTCGGCCACGCCTTGTACCAGTTAGGACTCGGATTATGCAAGTGAGTGTTTATGCTGTAGTTTAGCGTTAGCATTGAGTCCTAACAACGCTTCTAGTATTATAATTATTTAGTTTTAGTAGTTTGGCTGTTGGAGATAGTATTTTTGTGTTTTTTTACGTGCAACTCCGAGTTTGCTGGGTTTGAAGAGCGTTTCACAAATTAGTCCAAGCCCTTTCAATAATTAGCCAGATCCTGTCGACTGCTGCTTTCTCAAAACAGAGATTTTGGGCTCATTCTGAGGTGAGTAATTTAAATAATTACTTTTAACAGCTTCTAAAGATTGTTCCCTACCTGTTATTTGCACCTAGAAATGCAAAGTGAGATTTTGCTAAAGGTGCAGTATGTAAGAAAATAGTGAGAATTTTACAGCGAGAGAATCCCAAAAGAGTCTGTTTCTGTCATTTTGAAGGACGGTTCTACTGAAACATGTTTCATATCCAGCTGCTGGATTGTCAGTTTGTCTCCTTTCATAACAAAGGAAAGAGGAACGTAACCACGATTTACCATGAGTGAGGGGGGGGGGGGTATGCCGTGTCGAGCTAACAGCTGCAGCGCCAACTATTGGAATTTGACGACAGCAGCAGACTCCTTGTGTTCTCCATCCCTCTCTATGTTCTCCTTTTGTGTCTCCTAGTGCCCTCATGTGTCCTTGTCTGCGTCTTCCTCTTGTGTCTCCTGGTGTTCCCCATTTGCCCCCAGATCTTCAGCCCTCTAGGTTTCCCCCTCCCAGGTCCTGTGCTCCTGTGGCCCCCTTTTAGTCACGCCCCTGTAGTTTCTTTCTGTAGTGCTTTTCCTCTAGTTTCAGCCCCCACCCCCAAAATATTATTTATGTTTGCTGCCATTCTGGTCATTAGGTTTTTCTCTCAGGTCTTTTTCCTTTAGCTACAGCTGTTCATATTATTTAGTCTCTCTAGTGTGTTTTTCTCATCGGTATTTGAGGTTTCTTCCCCCTCCTTAGAGTATTAGTTATGTTCCTGCTCTTCTTGTCTAGTTTTTATTCTTAGGTCATGTTTGTTCCCCCCTAATTAGTAATTGAGTTCACCTGGTCTCTCTCTCCCCACACACCTGCAGCCCATCTCCCTCTCATCCTCCCCTGTGTATTTAACCCTGTCTGTGTCTCAGCGTCTTTGTTGGTCCATTGTTTGGTGTCATACTCGTTCTTGTTTGCTCTCCAGTGTTTCTAGCCTCTAGTGTTTTCATTTGGATTTTTGGTTTTTGGCTCCCTGCCTTTTGGATTATTCCCTAAATAAAGGATTTTATGTTCATCATCTACCTCCAGCCTGGTTCATCTGGTTCTCTGCATTTTGGGTCCTAAACTTCCTCCTACACCATCCTGTGACAATAATCACAGTGATTAACATATCAAAACTAAATAAAACAAAATCATAATGAAATTGACTGTCAGACAAAATAATGTCATAAAATTATTAAATATCATACAAAAAATGAAAGATACAAATTTGAGTAAATAGTAAGAATACATCTCCTCCTTGAACCGTCACCTTATCGTGGTGGAGGAGTTTGAGTGCCCTAATGATCCTAGGAGCTATGTTGTCTGGGGCACTTAGTGCCCCTGGTAGGGTCTCCCAT